CGTTTGGAATAAAGGTCTTTAGTTTTTATTGCCTGCGTCTGTGCGAGTAATTGGGGATGTGAGTTACGACCTCACGACCCCCACTCCAGTATCCTTGCCATGAAACCTCCCTGGACAGTACCTAAAGGCAAAAAGATATGACGCTGGAAGATGAGCCCCTCAGGTCGGAAGGTGTCCAATGTGCTACTGGGGAAGAGCAGAGGGCTAGTACTAGTAGCGCCAGAAAGAAGGAAGCAACTGGGTCAAAGTCGAAAGGACACTCAGTTGCAGATGTATCTGGTGGTGAAAGATGCTGTAAAGATGAAACTCAAATACTTCGGCCACGTAATGAGAAGGAAAGGCTCACTGGAGAAGAGCCTAATGCAGGGAACAATTGATGGCAAAAGAAGAAGGGGACGGTAGAGAATGAGGTGGCTAGATGGAGTCACTGAAGCAGTTGGTGAGAGCTTGGGTGGACTCCGGGGATGGTGGAGGACAGGAAGGCCTGGAGGAGTGTTGTCCATGGGGTCACGATGGGTTGGACATGGCTTCGCAACTAACCACAACAAGAACAGAAGGGTCTTCACTGTTGGCATGCCATATATAGGGAATACCCTCTCCAAGAAGGCTTCCTGAGCATCACTCCGCTATCTTTCCTTCTAATCCCAGGCTGGCTGGCTGGCTGGCTGGCTGGCTGGCTGGCTGGCTGGATTTATTTATTTATTTATTTATTTATTTAGGAGGCTTCTATGCCGCCCCATTCGCCGAAGCTTCGGGGCAGCTCACAATTATAATTAAATAAACACAATATAAAAATAATACAATTTTAGACAAAGATGATTAGTGGGATCTTGTTTTCCAAGGCCCTTCACTTTTTTTTGTATCACTTATTGTCGCTATGTTTAACTTTCCCTGTTACGAGAACCAGCCTGAGGGCTTTTTCAGATGGGGATGACATATACCTACTGTAAATAAATAACTAAAATGAAAATTTAAACACACCTGCATTAAGAAATGCAGAGCTAGAGTGATTTGAATTGTTTCACAAACATAATTTAAGCTCTTTCATTCCCCCAGCAGCCCAGAAAAGCCTGGAAAAGTGCTCAAGCTGTGAATGCCAATGGAAGACTATTGCTCCAGTTTATGTGCTAGGAGAGCACTAAAAGGGCTTTTACTGCCTGTCAAGAGATTTAATTTTCTCCCCATGAAAAATGTCAGTTTTTTAAATAAGTACTACATTGCCCTTTTCAGTCAGTCAGTCATTAAACGTAGCCAAAGGATCCTGACCTCAGTTCCACCTAATGTACTTCTAGAATAAAAAATAAACTTAAGGAATAAACTTCTTTCAATTCAAATGGAAAGCATGTGCAAGGATGTTCTGGGAGAGGAAAAATGCTATTCTGCTAATATTCGTGGCATTTGTTGCTCCAAATAGTAAGGACACCAGCTTTCATCTTACATAACTGACATATACCCCCCCCCACACACACACAGCTGTACAATACCACACAACACATCTTTCCCCAACACGCTACTCTCCAGATGTTTGGGGCAACAGCTCCCATCAACCCCAGCCAGCAGGACCATTTTTGGCAGCAATGAAATCAGCATTAGGACTATCCATTCTCCAAAAAATCCAAACTTAGGCTAAAATGTCACTTAAAGGAGAACCCAACGGTCTATTCCCCCCTTCAGCAAATTCCAGCCAGGGTCCTGGACCCTCCCTGCATGTCAAGAAAGGTCAGCCGGGGCCAGTGGCAGGGGTCGGCACGGGCAGCAACGGCTGGGGAGGGCCCACATCCCAGGGGACACCTTCTGAGGGTAGCCCCCCGAATACGCTTCGTCTCTGCCCCTCTGCAGCCCCCTGGCTTGCCTGCCTCTCCGGGGTTGAGAGGGCGAAGCAGCAGATGCTGCTGCAGGAATCCACCGCTTTCTTTATTGATTATTTTCTATGCTTCCCAACAGCTGAAGCTCTCCGGGTGGGTCACAACATCCCACGATCTTCAAACAAACATCAACACTACAGTCTTTGTAATACACGAAATGCAGTAAGTCATGAACTGATAATGAGCTAAAGTCTAATCCGTTTCCTTAATTAATCTATAAGACGACCTTAGAAACCTCCCACTGATGTTGCGTGTTGTCTCGCGCAACATCCAAAATGAACGGGAAGAAGCCCTATCCAGCCACAGTCAAATACTGCCCCCCTCTCTCTCATTCATTCTCTCGCTTGCTCTCGCTGCCACCTGAACAATTTACTTTTCATTTTAATTTATTAATTGATGTAACGCCCAGAAATGTGCCCTCTACCTACCTAACAAGGACCGGAGGCAAAGCACATTATGTTTTTTATGCTGAGGATGATTCCCCTGCATCGCACGGCTCCTCCCTGCTTCCTCTTACGAGGAACTCCAGGTGGCTGCCCGGTTCTCTTTCTCTCCTCTCCTGAGAGGCAGTGAGGCTGAGAGGCAGGGACTGGCCCAAAGTCACCCAGGGGTTTCATGACTGACTGGGGACTAGAACCCAGGCCGCCTGAGTCCCAGCCCAGCTGTCTCAAGCTTGCTCCCCTCAACCCCCATTTTATCCGCACAACAACCTTGTTAGGTAGGGGAGGCGGAAAGGGAGGGACTCAAAGTCATCCGGGGGTTCAGGGTCGAATGAGGACTAGAACCCAGATCTCCTGAGTCTCAGTCCAGGATGATATACATCTAATTAATAAATAAATATGGAATGCGCTCCCCAGAGAGGTTTACCTGGCGCCAACTTTATATTTGTTTCAGCACTAGGAAAAAACCTTTTTATTTGCCCATCATTTTAAATGTTAGGGATTTTAATCAGGTTTTAACTTCACAGTCACTTTTTGGTTTGGCTTTTGTCTTGATTTTGATTTTGTTCTGACTTTCCTTCATTTGTGAAATGTTACTGGCTTTAACTGCACATTTAATTATTTATTTAATTATCGTTAACTTGTTGGATTGTTTGCTTTGATTTTTGTAAGCTGCCCTGAGATGCTTTTGGATATAGGGTGGGGTATAAATATTTTAAATAAATAAATATAAAATACACATAGAATCAGATGAAACATAACATTTCCAGGACAGCATTTAAAATACTTCAAACCACTAAAACAATCTCAATAAAAGTGGTAGCTTTTAAAACCGCTGACCAGCCTCATCATATGCATGTTAAATGCCTGGGAGTAGAGAGCAGCCTTGATCTGGCACCAGCAAAGCCTCGGTTAGAAGACCATCCCAGAACGGAGGAGCCACCACTGAGAAGGCTCCCTGTCCTGTTGCCTCCCTTGGAAGCAGCACTTGAAGGAAGGTCTCAGAGCCAGATCATAGTGATGCTTCCTCCTGCGTCTAAACTTTAATTGTAGCTTTCTGCTTTTATTTAATTTACAGATATACACCTGTATTAATCTGCCAAGTTCTTAATTTTTTATTGCATATTGCCCCCAACTGCCTGAAAGAGGGAGGGTGCAATTCAAAGTACTAAATTAAATTAAAGCATTTGATTAGGTTAAATTAATAAAACAAAAGGCAGAATATTTGGAGGGCAGCAATTTCCACGGAGAGAAACACAGTCTTTCACAGCAAGGCTGGATAAGCATCAGTACCAAAAGCAAATGCCGCGGCGGCCAGGCATCCTGCCCCGGGAAGGCTGCTCCAAACATGACCAGTACAGAAGCCCTCCCACCTCCACTCCTCATGCGCAGGCATCAAGGGGGCGCAGAGGCAGGCTTCCAAAGTGGGGTAAGCGGATTCATGCAGGGAGCACTGGGGTTGCAGAGGCCGTGGGTCCCAGGCCATTCAGGGCTTTGGGAGATCGAGACCCTCACCTTGAATTGAGCCCCAAACCTGCTGAAAATGGACGGCGGGCTCGATCAAGGATGGAAGCACTGTGCTCTGATCTCTTGGCCCCGGCCTGGCCGCCAGCAGCCACGCTTGCGGCTGGCAAGGAGGGGTGTGCTCAGAACTCTACTCACGCAACAGGGCTTCTCTGCCACCTCTCCGTTACTGTGGTCGCGCTCATCCTCCAAAAGCCGTCTCTGGGATACTCAAGGAAGGGACAGTGCATGGCAAGAAGAGCTAGAGGGCCAGGGGAGAAAGAGCGGCGTAGCAACGCGAGCAGAACGATTTGGGAATCCACTGCAGAGAATCTGGGAAGGGGGAGGCTAAGAAACCCCACCATAAGCGGACATACTTGCATGTAACCAGCTAAACAACACAACTGCAAGCCTAAGGCATTCGTCCAAAACTGATGCTATACTGGGCAGCATCCAGTACTACTGGTCCACTGACGCTACCGATGAGGCACTGTTGACCAGGCCATTGCCGAAGGCACGTGCCGACATGGTCAGCTTTCCAGGGCAACCCAATGCACCAGCTTACAGCATGAGTAGCACTAAACCACGTTTAATGGCAGCACTCCGTCAATGGCATTGGCAGAGCACCAGCGTGGAACGCTGCCCAGTGTTACAACTTGTTCAAACTATGCAAACTAAGTATAGCTTTCGAGAGATTACAACAGAAAGAAAAGCCGGCATGGGGGGGGGCGGGGTGAGAGGAGAAAGGAACGGATTTTAAAAAAGCATAAGAAAAAAAAACAACTCTCATCCACTTTGGCACAGAAATAGCAACCCCTTTAAAGGACTTACTGTCATTTGTTGGAGGAAGGGCCGCGGTTCCTTTATGGATCGAAAGGAAACAGCTGGCACAATTGCCAAATAAATAATAGAGAGACAAAAGCGAGCCACCTTATCACCTGCGCCAGGCACACGAGACTGGCAAGCGCCAACCAGCAACTGCTCTTTTGTCAAGAACGACTGAAAAATACCTGAGCAGCAAAAGGCTCCCCGCATCATCTGAAATTACTGAATAAAAATGTTTCACGCTATTTTTCAGGACTGCAGTTTCGCTTGGACTCGGTCGCAATAGATTTTGTACCAGCACACAAGGAAATCTGTCAATAACTCCACGAGACATGCTGGGCGCCTTCAATGGCTATTCTGCACTCACCTTCCACAGCCTGACCTTCCCTTTTCAGCATCTGGACTGCACCAACGTATTTCTTGAGCTGTACTTTTAGCACCTCGTTTTCTCTGCAAGAACAAAGAACAGTGACAGATAATATTGCTTTTTTTCTTTAGAAAGGGAAGGACGGATGGACGGACGGACAGACGGAAGGACACAAAGTGAAGGGGAAATCATAAAAGACTGGCATCTACCTTGCCACACTTGAAGCTCTTGTTGGGATAAAACTCTGATTTGCTCAACTGGATGCTACAACTAACATGCAGGTGCACCATTCAATGTGTGAATAACTTATGCCAAGACAGGATATTGGGCTATCCAGGTCCTCTGACTGGAAGCACCCTCAGACCAAGAGATCTCTTCCATTCTTGCTACTGAACATTTACTTAACTAGAGATGCCAAAGATTCGACCCGGAGCTGCAGCCAAGATAGCTTATTTCAGGGTCCTCACAGCCCCTGCCTGGTCCAACTTTGCTCTGCCATCCCGAACTGACTCTGCCCTGCCTTTTAGTAAACATGGATGCTTCAAATCGGCTCCTCTGAGGACCTTAAGCAGAACAAAACAGAGCAGTGAGCTTGAAAATGGGCTGGTAGCTAATGAAAATTTTCAGGAACCAGAAAGGGCCCCAAGCAGAACATTCACTCCTTGCATTTCTCCATGACTAGGTACAGCAAGCAAAATATGCCAGTGTGCATTCAGATGAAATGAATCCTTCTCTGAGTTTATGCTAGACTTATTTTAGTGGAATAAATGCTATTTTGTTTAACTTCTGCTTGTTTCTGTAAATTCTTCCGCAGCTGCTGAAGCGTCTGGAGCATTTTCAGGTTAGGGGTCACACAGACTGGCAAGCCATGAAATACAGACATCGCCTTGGCTCTAGATTTAGCCCAACTAAAAGCAGTAGACCTTGAATTCCCCAAGTCCAACAGAAGTCCCATTGCTTTCAATGGGTCCACTGCAAGTACAACTCCTATCTGGATTCAAGAGGATGCTCTGACTTACACTGCAGAAAAACAGAAACCGCCAGGGCTGAACTGGCGCTTTTGTAAACAGCTGCTAATAGAGTCAGGGTAGCTTTTTCCCTGGTGCTCAGCTTGGAAAATGATTACTGTATAAAAGTGACATTGGAAAGCAGCCTAGAGAGAGGTCTCATAAGAATTTACTGGAAAATAGGTTGGCCACTATATTTTCTTTAATAATTACAGAGCTGTCAAGTCAGATTTCTGGTCAATGCAAGTGAGTTTAATTCAGCCCCTTCAGAATTTTGCAAATCCCTGTGTGGCCAAGGAAGTGTATGTTACATAACAATGAAATTTTAACGATGCTCCCAATGGCATTGTGTGCAGCTTATCACACTTATTTCCTGTATGTGCAGAATCCATACCCCAAGCTTCAAAGCTGAGCTTTCGAATGAGACCAACTCTGCTAGAATGAACACGTGAAACAAAGAAGAGTCAAGCAATTCAATGTGTTTGCAGCATTATAGCCATTTTGAACGACGGGGCAAACCTCCTTAATTGCAATTCCAAATGCAGTAACATGGTGCTTGGACTTACTCATCCAAAAAAGAACAAAACAAAAACCAATGTTAATTGTCTTGCCGTGTTTCACAACAACTGTACATTACAAAACTAGGACAATGGGGGGGGGAGTGAGAGAGACCCACACCATAGACCCTGCTACCAGGGCAAGAAATACGCAATCACTGTAACACACGGGCAAGAAATGTGGTGCAGGGGTTGGACAGCGACTTAGTAGAATGGAGTTCTAGTCCTCGCTCAGCCGTGAAGCTCACTGGGCGACCCTGGGCCCGCCACAGACTCTCAGTCCGACCTTCCTTACGGGGCTGTTGCCAGGAGGACATGGAGGAGGGGGAATGTAATGTGTGAGCTACTGCAAGAGCGACTTCCATTTGTGGAGCCAGGAGAGGCTGATTCCCACTGGACCACCTGGAACAGATATGGGAATCATAGGGAGGGAATCTGCTAATGCAAAGTAGAATTTCACCTGGTATTTGTAAGGTTTTAAAATGCCATGTTACAAGTGTCTCCGTGTTAATATAAAATATTAAAATGAGTCTTCAGTAAATGTGCCAATGTGGTGTAGTGGTTAAGAGCATGGGACTGGGACTCAGGTGATCTGGATTCTAGACCCAGCTTGGGCATGGAGCCAACTGGGTGACTCTGAGCCAGTCACAGACTCTCAGCCCAACCTACCTCACAGGGTGGTTGTTGTAGGGATAAGATTGAGAGCAGAAGGGAGGATGCAAGCCTCTTTGAGTTTGAAAGAAAAAAAGCAGTATATAAATCTAAAATAAATAAATTAGGGAGGGATTACAGTTGAGCACGGACATGCATGCTTTGTGAATATTTTCATTAACATTTCATAACAGAATTACTAATTTGTTACCTCAATTTAGTTATTTAGCAACCTAAATCAAATATATTTCAGGCACATAAATTCATTACTAGGTTTGAAAAGGTAGATTTTTATGTACACACACAATTTTCAATTATTGTTCAGAGAAAAGTAATATCTCAGTTATAATGTTTGGCAACAAAAAACTAACCACTGTCAGCATGAAGGCTGCTGGAATGAAGGACAACCGAAACTAAGCACAAGTATGAATTTATGTTAAAAACAGATCATAAAAATGTAGATGGATCACCTTTCATCATTCTTTTATAACTCTGGTGCTCATCAGCTTTTCATTATGCACAAGATGAAAAAACATGTGTAACGAAAGATGTCATTTTCTCCTTCTGTAATTGATTCGAGGGCTTGAAAAAAGCAGGCTTTTCACAAGCCCAAGTTCAAACAGGACAGAGGCTTTTAATTAAAATACGCTTGTAGCTGTTTAATTACAAAATTACAAAGGCCTGAAGCTTTGGGCTAGTTCAGGGGTTAACAATCCTGGTTTGGCAAACCATGGCTTAACAAGCTCGGAATAAGCATGAGGCTCCTGTAGTCCTCCCTTACCCTGGCAGTTGTTCTTGACTCAGCCTTCACCTATGGCCCCATCATGTCTAACCAAGTGTTTGGCCCTTGCCTGAATATGTTTGGTTTTCCTCTCATCTCCACCACCTCTGGTCCAATCAGGCATTTGACAAGCATCAAGGACAACTGCTGCTTATGCCCCGGAGCTGATACCCCTTAAGCACCAGCAGTTGCTCTGGGAGGGTAAAACCAAGAAGATCAAACCCATCAGCAGAACTCAGACAGACTTCAACTCCGGAGTCAGGAAGCTAAAATTCATGTGCTGCTTCAAGTCAACCTCCAAATCCTGCCTGAAGCAGCAGCCTGACTGCAGTGCTCTGCAGTTGCCCTAAATAGATCATGCTTCGCAGAGAGGGGATCATGGTTCTGCTCCGACATGACAGGATCAGCCTGTCTTCTCCAGTGCCTGTTCAGAGAGGGCGATCGCCTGCCTGCAGAAAGCCCACAAGCAGGACCTGAGTGCAGCAGTGACTTCCGGCTCATGTCCCCAAGCAGCTCGTACAGCAATGCAGGCTGATACTGGAGGCAATGCATGGCCATCCAGATCGCTTCATGGCCCATGCATTTGCCTAATCCCTTTTTAAAGCTGCCCAAATTGGTGGCCATCACGCACATCTTGTGGAAGGGAATTATATCGCTTAACTACCCACTCCTTCCTTTGATCAGTCCTGAATCTCCCAGCATTCAGTGGCTGCTAGGAGAATGGGAGAGACAGAGTTGCATGGGATAATATCATTACAGCATTACATAAAAGGACTCCTGTTGAGCTTCATCAGCCCTTCCATGGGCTTTAGTCATGAGCAGGACAGAGAACCTGCTCTAGTCTTGGCTGGGGAAAAGATTATTCTGACCAACTGGGAACTGTAAACAGAATCAACCTAAAGGATTGCCTTGTTTATGCGCTGCAACAGATGATACTCAGTAGAGCACGCACTTCTTGAAAGAAAGCGGAGAAAATGTAACCTGATGCTCCAGTCTCTCTCTGTTACTTGAGGTTTTGCAGCAAACCTATAGATACATTGGCTGCCGCATTGAGGCTGACAGCTGACCTATTTGTATTAACATTGAGTGATGTTGCATACTTTCTGGGAACAGTGAAAGTGTTCCTGCGTTGCGCAGGAACACCGAAAGACTCCTGTAGAAATGACTACAGATGGAGTTACTGTTGCAGGCATAAATCAGCAAAGGTGAATAGCGACAGGTTTTTGGAACCAATTTCAAGATCAAAAACAGCAAGGCTGAGACAGAGAATGGCAGTGCATTAGTAGGACAATGGCAGCCAGAAGAGAGAGAGAGAAAGAGAAATGCAAGGTTTGGTTCCAGGAACACTGGTGCGGCAGATCTTGTAAAGCCACAGTTGTACACATTCATGGGTAAAGAAAAGGTCTACTGCCTAAACATGCCTTGAAACCCACAAGCAGGAAGAGCGGGCAACAGCACCTCCTTACCCACGTTCTCCAGTAACTGGTACACGCAAGCAGACTCTCTGTGATCCCAGAGGCAGCACTGAGCCATCAGGACGAGCAGCCTCATCCTGCATGAATTGGTCTAATCCCATTTTAAAGCCATCTGGATCGGTGGCCATCGCTACAGCTCGCAGCAGCAAAGTCCACATTTAACAATAGACTGTGTGAAGCATTCTTTACTTATCCGAACTCTCCCACGACTTCATAGTAAAACCCCTGGTTCTAATGATATTATCCATTCTCTCTGCACTAGCCATAATTGTAGAGATCTGTATTGGGTCTCCTCTCAATAGCCCTTTTTCTAAGTTAAGGAGCCATGGGCACTGTACATTTCTGAACAAAGGTTGCTCTTGCTTTCAGGTGGCTCTGGCTGAAACACTCAGAGAGCAACACAAACAACTCAGGAATAGGCAACAGGTCTGGGCATGATCACAAGCCATGGTTTAAACAAACCCAACATTCTAAGCCACAAACCACCATAGATTCTTTCTCTGGCTTACAGCTGGTTAACGAAACATGGTTTGCTTGTGCAGATAGGTTCAGGCACAACACCAAGCCAGACTTCACCAAACCATCATTTAGCATTATGCTCAAACCACTTAATATAATAACCACAGGAAGCCTAGGTGGAAGAACACGTCCAAGAACAGTGTAGGTTTCCTCCCTTTGCACATTTAAGGCCACAGACCTTTCTTGCAAAACAGTCCTTACGGAACAAAATGTTTTCCAGAAGCATAAAACAACCGGCCTGAATTGCATGCACAGAGTGGTTTGTTGAAGCTGATAAAGTATTCACTTTCAGGAACTCTCCTTAGGAGCTTGCCTGGTCCCCATCCCTTCCAGAGGGGCCTTCTGAAAGTGAGCACGCCTCCCCTCTGCATGCTGATCCTCCAACTGGACTGCCCTCCTCTGCCAATGTCATGGGATTGAGAACCATGCCCACCTCGCCTGTCCCTGAGAAACTCCCCTGTCCTCCTCCTGTTAGCGGCACATTTTGGTTAGTTTCCTAGACTGCCTGCCCACCCGGGGAGTCTGGCCTTGAGATAAGCAGCTCCCCTTCTCTCATCTCAACATCTGGAAATGGCCCACATACCAAGGCCCCCTCCTGCTCCTCTTCCTCCCCCGGCTCCTCTTCCTTCTTGAATCCAAACCAGCTGGGCTGGAGAAAGTGCACCGAGAGCAATGATCGTTCTCACTCCCAACAAACGAGCCCATTACCACACCTCCCTAGCAGGAAACCTTCTACTAGAATCGAGCGAGCCGCTGTCCTACCTCGCCAGGGCCTGGATCTTCACTGTGTAACGTTCTTCCTGCTCTGAAACCTTCTTCTTCAGGTTGTCGATTTCTTGACGTAGGCCCGCAGAATGCTCCATCTCTCCATCGAGGAGGTTCCGCAGCGAGCTGAGAAAAAGAGGGCTGGCACTGGGGATGCGGGAACGAACATTCACGCACCGCATCTGTCAAAGCTGGTCAGTTCTGGTGCACCACAAAGGGACCTGAGGTCCTCGCAAGCTGCAGGTACCTGTGCTTTGCCTCACAGCTAAGCCAATCAGGGCCCAACTCAGGGACATTCAGTGCAGTGTCTATGCGTGAGACTGGTCAAGGCTCAGGCTGCAACGTTTCAGGGCAGGGCAGGATATCACTTTCAGCCCAAGGGACAAAGCGAGCGCTGCCTCCAGCGGCACTACCTCCAGCGTGCATCTCTCCCCTCTTGTCACACACACACACACACACACACACAGTCCCTTCCGAGTGCCACCTCCTCAGCTGACGGGGCCATTTCTGAGCGGGATGGTCTAACCTGGTGTCCTGCAACAGCAGGAGGTTGGGCCTGATGGCCCTCCCGGCCCCTTCCGACTCGACTATTCCACGAGTCCATGATTTTCCGTATCCTGTGGCCAAGAGAGGAGCCCTTTCTCCTGCCCTGCAGGAGCGGGCAGGCCTCGATTCTGATCCGCCACTTACCCGTTCTGCTCTTCCAGTTCATGCTTCCTGTTCATCATGGCCACAATAGCTTGCCGAAGTTCAGCTGAGAAAGAGACAGGGCGGGGGGGGGGGGTGAACAAGAGATATGGGTTATGCTTCTTGAGTAACTGCGACCCGTTCCATGTAGAAAAGCACTGAGATTCACACCTTACAAGAGCCATTTGTGTGCGCTGGCCTTGGTCTGCTTCATTTGTCCTTTCAAATTTCAACATTTCCATGAAAGAAACAAGCAAATGAACACCATCCTCCCCCCTGGACTACGGGACTCCAGCCAAGTGTTCAGAACAAGGGGTCAGGAAAATTTTCTCAATGGGTGGCTGATGTTGTAACTTCCAGTAAGCACCAATGCTGCCTGACAAAGCAGACGGCCCAAAAGCACCATGATTAGATTTAAGAATATTTTACTTCCAAAGAGCTGTGTTTGACACGTATATATGTCACAGCCGGAATACACAAACATAAGAACGTGTGCTGAAGCACAGACAAGTTCAATGAGTCTCAACACCTCTCTAGGGCAAGTTATTAATTTTAAAACACTTTCAACAGCATGTCAAGGCTTAGATAAGAACAGCTCTTGAGCATGAGCTGAAAAGCTAAATCACTTCATGGACACCCAGAGACTGACTGGCCCAGGGTCTGTGCCCAGATAGGTTTGTAGAACAGCATAAAAGCTGTTAATGGCTTTGATTTCTTGGCTTATTTAAAATTTATAGGATCTGTTCCCCCTCACTGCCCCCGAAAAGCCCAATGTGTTTCACTAGGACTACATCAGAACCATCTGCAGGTGCCAGCATATCAAAGCCTGGCTCCGACCACCCTCTGCCCCATCTCGTCAAGAACATGAATGGCAATGGGGAACACGCCTTGGTGTTCAGACGTCGCCACTGCTTGCGCAAAGCATCAGGCCCGTCTTGGCTTCCCAGAGGACCATGCCCTTCCCCTGCCCCGCCCCCTTTCCCCCATCTTGTTTGGCGGTTTCTTGGCTTTTGTGCATTCCCTCCCCTCATCTTCAGGTGCCTCTCCAGAGGCTTAGATCCCGACACCAAAATTTTTAAACTAAAATACTCTTCTATTCGGGGGTATTTTGGCCCCTGCCCTACGCACCTGGCCCTGAAAAAGGATGGATGGACGGACAGACAGAGCCTGTGGTGGGCAAGGATAGCAGTAAAAACATTAAAGGCAGGCTGCTTACCTATCATTCTTTGAGGGGTCATCTGGGCATTCACACATGTGGGTGCATAACCTGTATGTGTGATGCAGAGAGACCACAAAGAAGAACAGGGAGCACAGAGCTGTTCAAGGCTAAGGATTCCCAGGAAGGGCCCTCTTTATTTTATAGACTTTTGCCTAGTTTTTACCTAACTCTAACCACTACACCACACTTCAATTATTGTTAGCATCCTTGATGTGAAGCTCTCCCGATGTTTTGGACTACGCTTAGCAGCATCCTTGGCCAAGCTGCCTGGAACTGATAAGAGGCAGAAATCCAAAGCATTTGGAAGGCCTTAGGCTGACGAAGGCTGCCCCGCACAGGCCGCCTGCTGGGCGCCTCTGGCACAGACATTCACCACTGCATGTCACCCAGTCCTTCTACCGGAAAAGAAAAGCACCGTATTTCAAGAATGTACACCCCATTCATCAAGAAATCCCCTAGGGTGGTTTGCAAAGTTTCAAAACATGACCAAATAAATTTAAAACATACAAGATGAACTAAGGAGCATCTGCTCTAGTACTGAGCAATGAGCCTCATTCTATATTAATACTATGAACTGTCTTTTTTCTTGAATTGTCCGGAATGTTCAGCCTAACTTGTAAAAACAAGAAAACCACAAAGAGTGTTTTTTCTAAAAAGAAGTCCTTGCTAGTCCTCAGCCCCACTGATCAAACTGGGTGGGTTTAAAAGAAAATCTGAAAACAGACTTTAAATCAACTAACAAACCAACTCAATCAATACAACTAACACAGAAGTATTTGTTTTAGCTGTTCAGTAAGACTGGGAAAGCTGCTCCTGATGGGCCTGTTGTCATTAACAAGCTGTGTCTTGCTAGCACTGCTGGGTTCTGACAACATGAGAATGCACATCTCCACCATAAGTAGGGCCTTCTCTGTGGTGGCACCCAGATTGTGGAATGCGCTCCCCAGAGAGGTTCACCTGGCACCGAGTTCATATTCTTTTCTGCGGCAGGTTAAAACCTTTTTATTTAAACAGTATTTTAAAAACTAGTATTTTTAATGGTTTTTAACAGTTGCTTTTGATTTGATTTATTTATTGTATTATGCATTGCTTATTGATTGTTTTATTGAGATTTGCATTATATTGTTATTGATATTTTTGTAAGCCATCCTGAGGCTGTGACAAAGGACGGCATATAAATATTTTAATAAATAAAAATAACCCACAGTTCGTTAGCAACCCACACTCAGCCCTGGAGTGCGGAACATCATGTTGGCCAAGTCCAATCAAGGCCCACCTTATAGAATTCCTTTACCACACTCGTAAGATCTGATAGCCGATTCCTTAAAGGATGGCGAAAAGGTCTAATTTAAACATGAGCAAAGGTGGGGGCACCATCTCACCGTCACACCTTTTACACGTTCACCACCAGCATCTCCACACAGGGCCAGGAAACCTACTGCCAGTCAGGGATGACCAACGCATGGCTTTCTCGATGTTGCTTGACTGGAACTCCTATTGTTTTTGACAATTAGCTACATCAACTAGGATGACGGCAACTGAAAGTCCAACAATATGGCCAGGACTGATGGAGCTTGCAATCCGGCATCACACAGTGCTCACCCCAGCCAGACCAACCCTTGACCTGACAGTGTAAGACACTCTTAATGAGACTCTGGGTACTTGAGTTGACACTGCAGAATGTGAGAAAAATCCAAAATGAATTCATATTAATTCAGATGTCTATAAATCTGACCCATGGGTTCCACAGCAGACTGTTCCTGAGTCACACAGATTCTGTGGGCTTGCAGGAATAAAAACTCTTTTTTTCCAGAGTTATATATCAAATTATTTGTAGAATAATATAAAAACAAACAAAAAAAACCCCACCGCCCTAGATTGTGCATTTCCCACCATAGGTTAAGGCAGGAAAATCTATTCCACATCTACACAAAAGCACATCACCACCATGGATTTATCTTTAGTACTATGTTTAAATCAGCTTTCAACATAGCTGAAAATGAGGTTAATTATCCCCCACTAAAATACACAAAATTGCCTACCAAAGATCGATTGACCAACAGCACGTACAGCGGGCCAAGACAGAAGCAAGCCCTCCCCCTAGCGGCAGCCACCGTTTTAACAAGCCACACTCCGTCTCCTCTCACTGGGTCCCCTTTCCTCAATTCTGTACCTTCCCTTCTTTGTTGGACTACAAATGACAGAGAGTGCTCCTGAAACATGAATCAGTGCGTTCAAATTAAAAATGGAATGGCCATTTTGCCAAGGTGGGCCACAGAATGGCAACGCCTACGCTGACAAACGGTTGGAGCGAAACAAACCTTTCAGAGCAACAGCCTCAGACTCTGTCTGGAGGGAGGGATGCAGGGATGCAGGGATGCTTACCCACTGTCATGGATTCCGGCACATTGGCTGATGGCAGGAGGTCATTCAGTGCACTCCCTGGGACAGGTGGGTTACCTTCTACCCTGCTTTTGTTTAAATAAAGTGAAATACTTTAGGCAAAGCGATTGCAGAGCAGATTTGATTTACACAGACTTCACCAGGCACAATTCACTTCAGTGCAGCAAACCTATTCGCCCTGAGTGGCCGTTGCACAACATACTTTTGCACAACTCTCGTGCACTTTGACTGCAGTATTATTAGTACTGTTCATCCATTTTATTTATGTATTTAAAACGTTTCTATACCATCCCATCACAGACGTCTTGGGATGGTTTACCATACCATTTATAAAATAGAATAAAAAGTAGAAATAAGAGTAGGGGTAGCACAGCATCTGAGGTTAAGTGTAAAACCACCTATTAAAACAAATTAGCCATTACAATATTGGGAGAATAAAAAGGGTTTTGCCTGACACCGAAAGGAAAGAAGAGTTGGCACCAGGCGAAACTCCCTGGGGAGCGTGTTCCACAGTCAGGGCACCACCAGAAGGCCCTCCTACGGGTCGTCACCCTCCTGGTCTCTCTCAAGAATGGCGCCTGCAGGAGGGCCTCTGACTCATTTTACAGCACCTCAATCAAATTCAGACCTTGGCATTGGAGAGTTAAGAAAATTTGGAAAATTTAGTTCCAAAGACATCAAAAAAGACACTCAAATTATGACTGCAGATCCATTAAGGTTGTGGACTAGATTGGGCTAAGGAAATAGGGCTTGCACAATGAAGTCTGTGGAATGTGCTCATTATCCCTAGTTTAGTAAGGAATTCCTGTATCCTAGGAAGTGGCTAAAAGAAAAGAAATCTGGTACAGGAATACGAATGAGGTTAAATACAAGTAATTGGGGGAAAGAAGCAAGATAGTTTTCTCATTGAAAATAATAACAGTTTTGTATTATATCGGGATGTGGGGGGTTGTAGTTTTCTCTAGCCAAGGCTAACTAACAAGCCAGGATCAAGCACCAGTCTAATATCCTAAATTCTTTTAACAAACTTCCATTAGATTAAGGCACAATTCTCAGAGTTGAACATAATGCAGAGGCTTTCCGCCTGGAGGATAACAAGAAGCTCACTTCAGTTTGTGAGCCTTCGCTGATGATCTGGCTTTGATGATTTGGTTTGGGTCAGTGGTGCAGAGAGTTTTAGAGTGGAGGCCAAAGCATCATCCCCAGACATGCTGTGATGTGGATGATGGAGGCCAAGTGGAAGCCAAGTCTGCATCCCCAGACTTCATGATGTGTGCTGTGGATGTTGCCTGGGTGCCTGGGTTTGCCCTGCAGGGGCAGTCCCCATGCAAAAGGACGCAGCTAATGCAGGGAAGCGTCGCTGTTCGGTCCAGCTTTGGGCAACTCAGGCCAAGCAAGAGCGCCCGGCCAGCATCAGGAGGAACAGCCACTCCTCTCAGCACAAGCTGAGTCCCTGGGTTGCAGGGTGCAGCCGGCCTCCCGCAGCAGCTCAGCACCCTCCACGGGACAGAGGTTCTGCATCCCCAGTTTGGCTGACTGCCTAAACCAGGACACGGTTCTGGATGGTTTGCAGAGGCACACAGGGTGGACTGTACAGCTCTGGTTGCTTCTAGCAAGCTTTATTTTCCATCTCTCAAAATCCACCACTTATATGCAATGAAACAACATGCCGTCCCTTTCCAAGCCCCAGGCACATGGACCCCCTCTGCCCCGTCACCATTCCCTTCATCATCACTTTGTGTGAGAAGATTTGAAATCCGCAACTTGGACACAATTCTCAACTGCAGTATGCAGGTAAGCAGTGGTTTCTGCAAACCATCTTTTGCCTCGCTCAGAGGCAACAGTCAACAGACGTACGTGGCCCGCTGTTGACTGTGAACTGAGCTTTAAGGAGGTGGGGAAGAGTTGAAATCAATGTAGGTTTTTTTACAAGTTAATCGGTTATTTATTTATTTTATTTATTTATTAAAGCATTTTTATGCCGCCCCATTCGCCGAAGCCTCGGGGCGGCATACAACAATAGCAAGCTGCATACCTGTGGTGCGGCTCAGCAGTTCTTTGAGCCAGTTCTGTTGGAAAATCCGCGCTTTCATGCTCATTGCCATTCTTCAGATTGCCTAAAATGACAGAGAGACAAATTGCTGGAAGACAATATGGCATGACATGGTCCCAGGACAGAATCACGTCACTCTTTCCTTTCCTGGCCCTTTACTTCCTTTCCTCTTCCTTGCCTGCAGCTTCCCTAACTTCCACGCTCAAGAATCCAACTGTTTGAGGCAATCCCTCCAGGATGGTAATTTTGAGTTAGAGTGCAATGATGTACTACATTAAATATTATAATCAAGGGACTCGAGCCCATCTAGTGGTTGATTAGTGAACATCTCTATTTAAAACCCACAGCCTGCTTGCTAAAAAACCCAGGCTTTCGAGCTGCAAGGTCGGCAGGAGCTGGGACGGAGCAACGGGACCTCACCCCGTTGTGCAGATTCGAACCGGCGACCTTTCGATCAACCAGCCCAGCAGCATAGCGGCTTAAACCACTGCGCCACCTGCATCCTCCAGTGGTGGCAGGTGAGGCTAGAATAGCTGAAATGGCAACCTGTTTTAGCTGGAAGCTCTTACAGCCAGTAACCAGACCTTAGGAGAGGCATCCCAACCTTTCCAGAAGGGCAGAAAACTGCACACAAAAAAACCGCCACGCAAATCTGTGGGTGGGCGAAAAAGGATGGGGCCTAGAGAAGGAGCTGGGAGATGCATAACATAGAAATGTTCTAATAATAATAATAATAATAATAATAATGTAGAAGGCCTCCGACTGAGGTTTTCCACCCCTGTCTTAAGCTCTTCCACTGCCTTGCTGGACACGCACTGTGCAATTCCAAAGGCTTTCCCTGTGGCAGTGTCCTGGCTTTAGGAAGTCACCTGAACATGCCACCTCTTCCCATACAATATCCACAGCGTCATATTAGGAAATTCCTTGCAACCCTGGCCCTTTATATAACCTCCCAGTCGGCCTTTGTAATGTATTTTTTAAATAAAACTATGCGTCGGTGATGCAGTATGCAGAAAACATCACGTGTGCATCAAATACCGTGTTACACCACAAGGAGCAACAATTTTATTTTTTAATATATTATAAGCAGGTTTTTAAAAATGAGACCCAATTGGCATAAAACTCCAGCTTCAGTGTGTTCTGCAGGAGTTTCTCCTTGTAGATTTTATCAATTTTTTCTCCTAAAATGTATAGACTGGGTGCGCAATGGCTGGTCATTTATTGTGACTTGGACTGAAAATACTAATTTTATTCAGAAGAAGAACTGGACTAGAATATCCCTTTTAAAAATGTTTCTTCATTCTGCAATCTAAGCACATGAATCCAGGTAACAGGTCAGCTAAAGGAAATTAGGTATTTTATTATTCCTCTAGCATAGATACCTTTATTAGCCTAATTACTACTTAACTTTTTATCAGGGTGTCCTTAAATCAATTTGAGGGTGGGGGGGCATTAATGCCATTTCACAGGTAAGTTAGAGGTAGTTTATTATAATTTAACCCAAATTTTTAAGCAGCCTACAACAACCCTTTCTAACATGGAATCCCACACCAAATCTAACAACGCCCACTGCAAGCCAGGCATCAAGAAAGATAGAGAAAGAAAAACGCAAGCCAGGGGATGAAGGAACCGCAATGCAAAGCCGGTGACCGACAGCAGGGTGCTACATGGTGACATGCGGTGGGGGGACCACCACAGCGTTGCTTTGTTCCCCCCCATTTGGCCTTTCAGTGGGACAGGATCGATTAGCTGGGCATCTCCAGCGGTCACACGTGCCCGTCGTCTTTCGCCCCGTGAGGCTCTTGAGCCATTCATCACTGCTCCGTGGGCCTTTTCTTTATCCTGCCAGCATGACAAATGCTCCGAACGGGTCCTTCAGGCCACCCACCCCTGATGTACTTGTGGAGAGAGACGATGTGTTGATGCTCGAGTAGCTCTGCCTTGCATTGTTAGCCTCGGAGTTATCCGCTGCTCCCGCTAAATACTCTTTTTAAAAGCCTTCCAGAGCAAACTCCTCACTTCTCGAGCGCGACTTGTTTGTTTTCATTTCTCAGAATGAATTGCATAGCCACATTTACTCTTTCCCCAGACATTTATGTATGCAGTCACCATTTAAAGTTTAGTTAGTGAGGGGAAGAGAGGCTTTGATCCATGGTCTGCAGCAAGCTGATTGCTCTTCCTACCAGGAGCAGGCGGTCACTTGACACAACGGAGTGGTTACCCTTTGCAACTTTTTATTCGCAGTATCAGAGGGAGAGAAAAGCACAACACAAAATGTGCCCCTGCTTAAAAAACAGAAAAATTGTCATGCGAGCAGCAGGGAGATCAATGAGAACTGCACAAGAGTTCTGGAAGCCTCTTTCGGTACCTGGTTTCTTTGTACGTGATTCACGAATAAAACACAGTTATTCATCTCCATGCTTGGCACTTTTCTCCTTAAGGATAAATTGGGGGCGGAGGGGCTTCCCTGGGACTCTTCTGTCAGATTTGGGAGACAGTGGGGAGCACCCTTATTTGGGTTTCTCCTTCCTTTATTAATAGCCTGGCCGCCGTGATGCCGGCACTCACAGCCCCCAGAATGACATGCCGTCATGGGCTGCGTCCAAGACTGCCCTCGTGCCTGGCAGGGCAGGGATGCTCGGTGCGGCATTTGTCCCACCTGCGCTGAAAGAATGGCTCTGGCTGCCTACCCTGTGCTGGAATCTGCACAGGTATTCGTGATGGCATGTCTGAGCAGTCCAATACCTGGCATTCTCCAAGCAGACTGCAAACAACTGAAAAACTGAGATTCTAAGGGAGAGTTCAAGATATAAAACAAAACGCCAATACACAAAAGAACAAAATACAATAGCATGCAAAACATTTAACAGTTCTAACAGCCTCAATCGAAGTCTCTAAAAGGTCTGGAAGAAAAGGAAAGTCTTTCCCTGGCACCAAAAGGGTAACGCTCTAACACGCTAAGTGCCAGATGAGCCCCTTTGGGGAATCAATTCCATACATGAATAAGGCCTGCCTTCTTAGCTAGCTTCCCTTTGGAGGGGCACCCAGAGGATGGTCCCTGATGACCCAAGGGCCCACGTGGGCACATGTGAGGGAGACATGCCCCTTAGCCCTGCTTGAGCCAACTGACCATGTTTGAGGCTCTGTTGTGACAAAGTCCTACATATCTCAGGACTAGGATCTCCGGCTGGCTGCCCCCTGCAAGAGACACCCAGGCAACCGCTGGGAGCCCCACTGGAGGCCTCGCGGGTCATTCCACGAGCAGGACCAGGAAATAACTCCTCAGAAGGCCCTCTTAGCCGTGGCACCCACGCTCCGGAATGCTCTCTGTCACGGGCATTCCGACATGTGGCAAGCGTCAAAATGCTTCCTGAAAACGGTTTCCAAAGGCTTTCACTGACTTATGACGGACTATAAACACTGCCGTTTTCTTGCTATCTGCTGTAATATTTTTAATTATTCATTCTTTTGCATCATTTTATGGTATACTTATACATGCATTATACTGGGAGCCACTTAGAGATTTCATTATATTAAGCAGTGTAGAAGGATAATACACACAGTCCATTTATTTATTTAGATTTATATCCTGCTTTTTTCTTACACTCAGTTCAAAGCAACTTACATTATTCTCCTCCTGCTTTCAATCTTCTCCCCAGAACAACCACCCTCTGAGGTAGGTTGGGCTGAGAGTCTATGACTGGCTGAAGGTCACCCAGACTGCCCCAGTCCCAGTCCTGTGCTCTTAACCACTACACCACACTGGCTCTCTGTTTCAAAACAGGAGTATGGGTGAGTTGTTCCAGAAATTGCAGCCACTGGGCCACCTGGGGAAAGCCACAGAATCGCATTCTCATTCAGACTTAGAAGCTTCCTTCAGGGTAGTGGAAGAGGCTTAAGTTTCACTGGAGTTCCAGTTTTCATCTTCCAAAGAAGACGGAACAGCAGCACCAAAAATAACGTGACATTTTGCTTGTTCCTCAGTGCATCCCGTTGGCAGATTAGTCAGAGTCTGTTCTACAGACTTAGAATCAGAGAGTTGGAAGGGGTCATTTAGGCCATGGAGTCCAACCTCTTCCTTACGCAGGAAACCATTTTAAAACACTCTTGACAGAGTGCCATCAAGCATTTGTCTGACTGCCTCCAGCAACTGGGAGCCAAACACCTCCTGAAATGGTTGCAATGTAGCAGTGGCAAATCAAAACTGAAGTAGTTGACCTGCAATATGCCATACCATATGCTGGCTACTGTGAATATTCAACCCCAGGCAGAGCTGATCGAAGTTTGCCACAGAACATTAGAATGTGAACACTCTAGGTTAACCAAGGTTAAAATATCCATGGTGAAGTTAACCACAGGTTGTTTAATCCACAATTAACCCACAGTATTCAGCTTCATGGAACAGACCTGGTGTGGGCTGCAGAAAATAGTGGATTAATAAATTAATCCACAATTTTCCAGAGTCACATGTGAAAAGCTCCAGTATCTGACTGCTCTGAATGTTAAGAAGTCTTTCCTGATATTCAGTTGGAATCAACTCCTCCTCCAGGCATTTTGAGTCCCCATATTAGCATCCTTTGTACTTCCAACACGTCCAACCACAAAGATACTCACCAGTGTGGGAGAAAGAGCCTACAGCACTGACAGGGAATAACTCATCAGAATCATCGTTCAACGTTTGCAGAGGGCTCCAAGCGCAAACCAGTGAATTACTTGTCACTTCCTCGGATGATCTAATTAATGGTTTAAAAAAAAAAAAAAAGATGTGTCAGATCAGACTTGAAAGAAAGTGCTCCAAGTAGCTCAAAAAACATGAAATGGAAACAGCAGAAGGAAGAAATAAAAGAGCATTCACGGCAACAAACATTTCTGTGACAGTGCCTATCGGCCTTTCCCCATCGCAAACTGAGGAGGTGGGACCTGAAAGAGGCACCTGGAGTTTATGGGAAAGCGTGGCTCTTCAGATGTGGCTGGCGATGGGGCTGCTGTCCCACAACATCTGCTGGGTCACACAGTCCTCACCCCAACTTGCGTCAGAACAAGCCACCTCTTCCAGGGACAATTTCTGCCTCCTGACCATCAAGCAGATGCTCACCCATGCGCAAGGGTCCCACGACTCTGGTTCCCTTTTCCAGACCACAGCCTGAACCCACATCCTACAGGTGTCGCATGGGCACCCCTTCAGCAGAAGTGGCCGATGGCAACCTATATGCCAAGGTGCCACACCGTGGTACTTTGCTAAAGGTGCATCATAACACCTTCATGCTCACTACCTGCACCCTCTGTCCCCTCTTTTCCTCATCCGCACATGCCTGGACCTTAAGAATAACTCACAGACTCACATATGCCTACCTGTGCCTTAAGATCACCTCTGAAGGTCCTCCTCCGGGAGCCGCCTTGCAAAGATGTGAGGAAGGCAGCTACCTGGAGAAGGGCCCTTCCAGCAGTGGGGCCTCATCTGTGGAATTCTCCCCAGAGATGGACGCCTGGCGTCAACAGCGTATATGCTCCAGCACCAGGCAAAAGCTTTTCTGTTCACTCAGCATTTATGTTTCAGTGGCACTTTATTAACACCTACAGGCGGATCTCTGTCTACTTCATTGCTTTGGTCTTTTGTTTTACTCTTCTTGCTTTCTACTGGGATTTTTGTATTTATCAATTTGCTTAATTATGTTGCAAATCGTTTTGTTTAGTTTTGCTTATCATTTAATTGGAAGGTTTTTATTGACTCTTAATCTGTTTTTAATACATTGTATTATGTTTTTGTATTTTATTGAATGTAAACCGCTCAATCAGTTGACACGGCTGAGTGAACAGTACACAAGATTTTTAATAAATGAATGGATAAACTTAAAAGGGCTATTCGACAGGAAGCCACAGAATTGCACATGGGGAAACCACATAAGGCCACGCCTGCACGGTGCTCACCAGCTGCCCACATGGCACAGTTAGGAGCGTACGAAGCTGCCTTATCCTCAAGTCACAGCCTTGGCCCATCTTGCCCAGGACCGGCAACACTGGCTGGCAGCTGCTCCCCAGGGTCTCCGGCAGGAATCTTCCCAGCCCTACCCTGGATCAACCACGGGACCTTCTGCAGGCCAAACAAGGCTCCACCACTGAGCCTTTCCTAGCTTCAAGCCAAGAGGCATAGCAGGGAAAATACCACGGAAATGACAGTGGGAAAAATGGTTGGGAAGCAAAAGCAGTGCAGGAACGGAGCACGACTGCCCCGCAAATGATTACTTGCAAGCACCAAACCTGTAAGTACAGGTGTGTGAGCACCACACCTGTATTTCCCCTGTTTTTTACTTGGTTCATTTGAAAGCTCTTGAGTGAGTCTTGACCAAGCTCAGAATGGGTGGCAAGAGGAAGTCTGCCCTCTCTTCCAGATGTCTTGGAGAAGAACATTTCCCAGAGATGAAAGCCATCCGTGAGAAGCCGGGGCGGCAACCTTGGGTGCCGCCCTGAGCCACCAGCTTACCTATTAATCTGCATGGGAAAGATACCGCTCTTCTCCTCTCAACCCTTTTTCAGAGTAATACTCACTTTCTACAAGATTCCTTGTCTTCCACCATGCTGAGGTTTCCTAGCATTTTGCCATAAGTGCCATCGTTTTCGTCCGCGTCGTCGTCATCGTCGTCATCTATACTTTTAACATCCAGTTTCTGGAAGCTGCAGTCTCCATTTAGGTAAGTGGAACTGTTCTTCAGCAAAGGCATGCTCTGCTCCCCATTCAGTTTAGCAAGCAAGCCCACGGAAGGAGGTACTAAGGAAGACAATGACCTGTCCGAGTTTTCTTCTGAGCTTTCACCTGCAACGCTTGCCCTGAGATCATCCCCCACATGCTGTTCATCCTCCTCGTCATCAAATGAAATAATATTTGTGACTTTCTTCTTCTTCTTCATCCTTTCTTTCCTGCACTTTAAATCTGGGGGACAGAGAGAGAAAGAAATGGAAGATTCAAAGAAACAGAGCCTGTGCATAAAACGATCATTTTGCAAGCCCAAAAGTTACAGGCTGAAGCATCCAGAGAGCATCAGGTTGGGGAAGGCAAGCTATTCCCACATCGCCTAAAAACAAATCTTGCTTTTACCTTATGCTACATGCCTGCAGGTTTAATCACAGGGGCAAATGACTAAAATCAATGAACTAGCCAAAGGACCTAATTACAACTACACAGAACAGAAGGCATGTCTGTTCTAAAGATCTAGCGCAGTGATTCTCTAAGTGGGCAATACCAACCCCCTGGGGGGTGGCAGATAGATCCAACTGACAGTGATCAGTTGCTTTAAATTTGCAGTAAAGGGCTCTAGGGTTGTCAACCACAAGGAAAAGGGGTGGCAGTCCAAAAAATCTGGAGAACACTGATCTAGGGCATGTAAAGCTCAAACCACGAATATCCACATTCATGTTAAACCTCCAAGGTTTTATCCTACAGCATTTTCCCCCAAAGAAACGGTTTGGCAATACCATTTTAAAGAGGAATTTAATTCTGCAAATCACTGTTCCTGAAAGACAGGGCCCACAGATACGCTGGCAAAAACAGCTGAGCGGAGGCACCTGATTCCAATTTACTCTAAATTTGGCTCCCTGCTATTTCTAGATGAACAACGGATTTCTGAAAGCATTCTTGGTTCATGTTAAGTTGCACGAGAGCCCCGCTCAGCTTTGGAGACATACCTCAACTGAGAGAACGGAGGGGTCGTCCAGTTTTACTGTCCTGAAAAAGGACCTATGATTATTTTAAAATATGGCTTCACCCAGCTGCAAAATTAAAGCCAGTGCAGTTAAAGCATCATATGAGTAGTGGGGAGGCCCAGATTCTAGCCATGAAGCTCCATGGAAGACTTGCGTCTGTCACTGATGCTCAGTGACTCACCGAACCTACTCCACAGGGTCGTTGTGAAAACAAAGTGGAGGGGGATTATGTCTGCCACATTGGGTTCCTTAGAGGAAAGGCAGGCTATAGAAGCGATGGAGACAGTTCTAAAATTGCAGCACTTACTTTTACACTCTAGCCAGCCCTCAAACAACTGTTTGGTATGTTACCGAACAGTTACAAAATCCAGCTTTTCAAACAATTTTTGCTTCGTCTTTGAGAAGCGGGTTGCACTTCTGGAAGATTATTTAAAAAATTTATTTGTGCTTCCTCAAAGCTCTTTGGATTCAAGCTCAGACATGGGACCTGTCTATTTCTAGGAAGACAATGTAGGTAATATAGCAGAAGCTGAGGTCAGACAGCATCTTTGCATTAACAGATGCATGCTGTGATCAAATACGTATGGCAGTCCACTGCAGAACCCTCTGTTCCTGGACCGAAGCAAAGAAAATGGGATTTTGCGGCTAAAACAGCCCAGATTGCAAAGTGGTCGACCAACATCAGACGATTTGCATGAGACATGGCAGTCGCTGTCGGATCAACAAATGGGAATAAGGCGTCCTCATATGGGCCTTCTTCCCCTGGTGATCTCGGCAGGGACCTCGGAAATGGCTTGAAACCCCTTGCGCCACAGGAACTGGACAACATGCTCCCTTCCATTGGGTCAAGGGCCAGTAACTGGCCAATAATGATTGCAGGACCAATAACTGAATGAAGTATGTTAGAATGCCTGGCGCCTTATGCATTCACCTGTTATTAAAAACAATATTTAAGAAGAAATGCCTGATGAGAGCAGGTCCCAACTAGCCTCAAGGTTGGGCTCTTCTTGTCCCCTGCTCTTTCAACACCGGCACCAATATTTGGAAGCTTGTACCACAGTCTGTCATGACCTCGGGCTTCAATGCTGACCTTTCCAGCACCATTTCAAGCTGGTTCCTTTCAAGTCAATCATAGTCAATATTGACATGGCAAGCTGCGGTCAAGCAGAAAAAGAAATAAAAACTTCTAGTCTCCTCTTCACAGTCCCAGTGGAAGTGAGGGAGCATGCCAGCCGCAGGCTGCTAAGAGTGGTCTAGCATGACTTCAGAAAATAGCTGTTCTGAGCAGAAGCACCCAGTCAAACTGGGTCTATGACATGATGACTTGAACAGGAGAGTTCCATGACAGAGGAAGTAGAACTCTTGAGTCCATGCAGATATAAATAATCATCTCTTAGGAAACAAGATGGCTTTGTAAGCAAAGGTGTCTCCAGCTATGCACATCTCCTTGAAACACAGGCTACATTTTTCACTTCTGGCATCTTGGGAGCACTTACCACCACTAACGCTCTTGGACAAAATGGGCAACGGATCCGCCTCTTGATCAGACTTGATTAACATGGAAACTGGGGAGGATGCCGTGATCTCCCGGAACAAGCTGCTAACACCCTGGGTGGATTCCTTCAGTAAGGAGGTTACGTTCTGGGTAGATTCCTTGAGAAGGTCAGAGACAGTGGGTGGACACTTGCTTTGCCCATTTAAATCCTTGTTATCAATGTTGATTGCAAAAAGAATGGAGTTCAGCCCTTAGAGAAAGGGAAACTATCATGATATGGCGTATCTCAGGCAAATTAACAAAAATGACATGAATGAACATAGAAATATGAAAACAGAAATGCATTATCTCAGACTACCTGTCCCTTTAGCTCAAGAACATCTAATCCAAGAGATCTGCACATTTGCAGAATCGATCTCGGCTTTTACTAGCATTTTGAGATGTGCCAACCTGAACCAGATGCAAAACGGTAGCTCAAGTGTTAAGCATCAAGCAGGAAGGGAACCCTGAGTATATGCTCACACCAGGAATAAGAGAACAGCGGCAGCAGCAGTGAGGCCACAGGTCCTTTCAATGCACACATTCGCACCTGTTCTCCCACCTCCCACATTCTTTTTCAACATCTCAAGTTAAGGAGCAAGGACTTTCCAGTGTTGCTATTTCTTGAGAAGCACCCAAAGATCTACCGAAAGTGGAATGCTATGTCATAATGTCGAAAACAAAGAATGAGCAAGGTTCATGTAGGAATAATTTCATCATACTGAAAGAAAAAACAGCCATGTGCAAAACAGAAGCAGAAACACGACTGCTTTCCCCAGATTTAATGAAGGAAAACGGAATAAGGCACTGTATTACAGAGAGATACAACAGATACTAAATCACCTCTTTGCTCCATGTGTTTGGTAATTAAACCAACTCGGGGTGCAGCCCTGCATATATGCAGATAGAAGAAAAACCCCACAGCATGTGAAGGTAAGAAAAGCCCTGCAGGATCAGGCCAGGTTCAGCATTCTGGGCACTTGGGGGGCATGAACCACCCCACAAACAGAACGAGAAAACAACAGCACCCACCCGCCACATTTTCCCGCATACTGAGATTCTGATACAACCCCCAGGGGCAGTATCAGCGCGTCCTGATCTCCTCTCCGACTGACTGCTGTCTGCTATGACCGGCAGCAACACTGGGAAGTCACGAGCAGGGAAGGGCTCTCTCACTACCCAGCGCAGAGTGTGCGCTCTGCCCCCAAGCCGTGGTCACTCCCAGCGTAACCATCATTGGAACATCCCGATGGAGGCTTACCAGCTGCCATGGTGGGAATCATACTGGAGCGCTCTTCATCCATCATGAAGGACCAGTCTTCATAGAAGACACTGACAGAAAAGGCAGTGCAAAAGGTATGCAAATCAGATTATACGAAAGAGAGTGGTTTTAAGTAATGCTTTCTGGTGAGGATTTCAGAAGTAGTCACCTGCTTTCTGACACAGAAAGAAAGCAGGAATGTTGGACAAGGGCTAGCCTATCACATGCAGATTATTTAAGAAATCTGAAAGCGACTGAATGAAGTCCCAAGGCTCACACATTCCTCCTCTTCCTCCTTCTTCTGAGCTGCTGGGAGACACAAATTGCCAGCATGAATTTATTTTCAGCTACCCTTAATCTCAGTTGGCTGCATCAAACCCATCAGAGTCTGGACTTTGCTTCACCTCTCTTTCCAAGCAGATCAAAACAAGAGGCTTCTAACTAGTGCCTTTATTATGTTAATACTGGCCACAGAGGCTAGCTTTGCGACACAAAAGGGAGTTTCAGCAGAAGTGGAGGAATGCACAGGACTTCAACAGAATTAGAATATTAGGGAAGTACGCTTATGCTGAGAAGTGGATTTCAGATTGAAAGCTTCCCTTTCCTTCCCAACTAAAAGGTGTTATTCTCCACCCTCACAGTTTGTGGGACAGATGGAGGGAATCTGGGATGCTGCTCAACTGCTCTCTGTTTTTGGAACAATGGGATGTCATCTGCCCCCTCTGGCACAGCCTGTTTGGCAGCACTTCTCCCAGTATGAGACGAAACCTGGTTCTTACCATTCCCTTGGTTTACCTGAAGCCCCGCTGGCTGTGGCATTTCACCTAAGAATTCTGACCCTGCCTCTTCTTCCCATCCTGATTCATGTTCTAAGCTAGCAATCCTGGAAAACTGTATTTTGGCAGAAGCCAGCCCAGTCCCTGCAATATGAACCAGAGATCGTGATTTTTTAGATCATCGTGATCTCTTTGTGCCACTTTTCACATACCATTCCCCAAGAAATTTCAGATCTAGAAGAAGCCAGTTTAAAACCAGCCTCTTTTGAAACTGACCAGAATCTGTGATAAGCCTAGCTCTGTTTGCTGTAACATGATAAGCCAGGATCAGGAGGGGGAAATATCAATGGTAGCAATGATTGCTGCTCACAGCCTCACAGCCACCCTAGGGAAGAGAGTAGGCAGCACGTGAGCCAGAAATGACATTCTGGTTCAGGCCAGTGCATGTTAATTGCACTAAAAATATTGCTACTCTGTTCTACTCCAGCTCTCTGAGGTTCCCCAAGAAGGCGACATGCCTTCCTGCTGAATTCCAATTATTTGATGGTTTCTTAGCTTATGCATCAATTTCCCTGTTCCCAAAAGGTGATATGACCAAAGCTTAGCTGCCAGCAATAAGAACCCTAAAACTGGCTGTTAGTTGGGTTCTTTTAGCCACACCCCTTGCACCTTTGGCCACACCCACTACTGGAATGCAATTCCCCCCACTTCCAGCAGGAGCGTCTTCAAACCAAGATGAAAGAGGTTCAACGGCCCTATAGGAAAGCCCACATAAATACTGTTGATCCCGTTGGATTCTGTTGGAGGCACTGGCTTGGCCCACTTGAGTAAATGCTGGCCCAAACAGGAAAATCAAATTCTGCTGAAAGTAAGTGACATGCAGGGCCGTCTTAACGCATGGGCCTGATGGGCACTTGCCTGTGGGCCCCATACTAATCTGTGTATGTTAACCCTTGGAAAACTGGAAGGCTTCCAAAATTAACAGTAGTTGTAGTTGTCGTAGGGGCCCCAGGACACTGCTTTGCCCCGGGCCCATCATGCTGTTAAGACGGCCCTGGTGACATGAGGAAAGGCTCCTTTTACCCCACATAAATTTTTGACGTAGAGGAAAGAGAGCTCTCTATTCTATCTCTGCCAAGAGGATGCAAGAGACTAGAAGGGGGCCAACAATCTCAGTCTAATAAACCAATGCATCACCGTTCACTGGAACAGGCCCTGTAATTAATTGCCTTGGAGCTTGAAAACTTCCGCATCTGGCAGTGTCCTAGAAGGCCCAGATTCAAATCCCTGGTCACTCCACAAGGACTACGAGGTCCTTTTCCATTGGATGTCTTCTCTTAGCTCAGCCTTTCCTCCAACCTGGTGTGCTCCAGGTATGCTGGGCCACGCATCCCTGAACTGCGGGAAGTTGTAATCTGGCGTGCGCCAGCTTGGGTCCAGGTTGCATTAGCCTTGAGTAATTCTGACATTGCCTCTGCTGCCCTGCAGCAAATGAGCACATTTCCTAACTCACAAGGTGCTTGGTGAGGACCACTAGGACTCAGCACCACTATCACCACACTGCATCGACGCCCCACTTTTCTGCCTCCCTTGCAGGACAGTCAAGACAACTGAGCAAAGTTCTCCTCCTCTCCACGTTATTCTCACAACAACCACCCTGTGAGATAGACTGGGCTGAGACGCCAAGGCCTACCCAAAGTCACCCAGTGAGCTTCGGGGCCAGGTGGGGACTGAGTTCCAGTGCAACATTCAAGCCACTGTGCCACAGCACTTCAACTGTACTGGAATTCATCCTACAGGTGTCTAGGATCCTAAAAGATCAAATGATAGCTTTGCTATTTAAAAGCACACATGAGGAATTAATCAGTGGTAGTTCACATCGTAATTAGACATTTTGGTCTTCGGCTGGCTCATCAGGCAGCCTCCGCCGGTGTAAATTTGCGCATCAGGAAATCATTAAAAGGGAAGTTACCTAAGCCGATTCTTATCCGCCAGTAACATATGGAAATATCTCTCCAAGGAATGCTCGTTGAGAGCACAGCGCAGCCAGGCACGGCCTCTGCCAACGTCAGTCATGATATTCCTCAGGGAGTAGAAACGCTGCAGCTCATGTTTATTGAGAACCTCTTTCACATAGAACCAGAACACGGGCTCTGAAAAAGTATACAGTCGCAAGTACACGTGAGATTTTCCAAATCCAGTTCGGTACAATGTCAAGAAGTTGGATAAAAAAGTGCCTCTTCACACTTGGGCCAAGCTAAAACCACTCCAGTGAAACCCGTCCAAACTGCCAGGTGGAAAAGAGTTCCTGGTTCTTTACTTAAACCACAGCATCCTGTGACATTCAGGGTGTGGAAACTGCTTTAAGGGCCCCCTACAATGCAGGACTATCAAGATCTTACCTTGGTTTGTAGGGGGCCCTGAAACCAAGCATGGGGGAACCTCTGGCCCTCCAGATGAAGCTGAACAACAATTCCCACCATCCATCAGCTTTGGCCATCCTGAGTGCAGCTGATAGAAGTCACCACCTCTCCCCTGGCTGTCTTTGGCCACCTGCAACAGGCCTGGGTCCCCAGCCCTGTAAGCCGCTTGCTTCACTTGGCATTAAAGTCTGGTGCTTCTATTAGCACAATGGAGCTCTGTTGAGCATTGCTTTGCCCACGACGCTCTGCGTTCATGATACTGGGCAGCTTCCCTTTCCTGATGCTGAGATGGCACAAGGACCATCCATGCTGCCCGGGACCCTTCCTCATCAGGTATTACCTTTGTGAGCGAGAGGCAGTAATGAGCTATGCTTGTTGGCTCACCAGACTTCGTTACCTCTTAGCACCTGTGTAAACAATATTACTCTTGCAACCGTATACAGTAGTACCTCTGCTCACGAACGCCTCAGTTCACGACCGAATCGGGTCGCGAACAAAAATGTAAGAAAAATGTTTACTCAGGTCGCAAACACTGCATCGGGTGATGATCGTGATCATGCCTCTCTCCCTCCCGAATGTGCCCACGATCGCAGTCTCCCCCCAAGCGCACCCACGATTGCGCCCGTCTCCCCCCAAGCACGCCCACAATCACATCCGTTCCCCCCCCCCCAGCACACCCGCGATCACACCCTTCTATGGCCCCGATCCCGATCGTGCTTACGCAGGGGACATGGGCACAATTGTGGTTGTGCTGGGGGGGGGGGGGGGGGAGATGGCCGTGATCATTGTTGTTCTTTGTCACTTTGCTTCAAATTTTTATGATTAAAAAAAATAGTTACAGAACGGATTAACCTTATTTACACTTAATCTTATGGGGAAATTTAACTTGGCTCACGACCAATTTGGGTCGCAACCAGAGTCATGGAACGGATTAAGTTCATGAGCCAAGGTACCACTGGATGTTAATTATGCAGGATGCTGTACACAGGCGCTACCATGCTGCAAGTTAGTGATCTCTAAAAGCTGGCCGCCTCCTTTGTTCTCTGGTTCAGGGTCTTTTCAAGGGGGATTCGGCTGTTGTTTTGGAACCCAGCTGATTGGAGTCCTACCTGGCAGAAGCCCTCTGTAGTATAAGAGGTATGCTGCTAAAAGTTTTGGCAGTCTAGCTGGCGTGTTGGGATATTATTGCAATAATAAATAATCTCCTTCTAAGCAAACCTGGAGTTGGCATAGCATTCTCTGGAAATCATTAAAAAAAAACCTTTTGCCCCCAGCCAGGGCAACACCACCATTGCCCAATCGAGACATCGCAGGGACAGGAAACCGAGGTTTAAGAAACCAGGAAATCCCCTCTACAGCCTGGCAGAGCAGAAGGGGAGTGGGGAGGAAGCAGCACTGCCTGTACTCAAGTGAACTTGGGGGTGGACAGGTTGCAGCTCCCCCAGTGAAAATCCCGCCTTACTAGGATTATTTCGAGTTACACTTTTTAGTCTCCATATCCTTCATACAGATTGTTTGCCTGAACAATTGACATGTGGACAATCTCATTTTTTAAGGGATGCTGATTTAATACTTTAAAAGTAGTTTTCCAGGTGGTTGAATATGTAACCTCATAATGGGTACTCTTGCATGGAGATCGCTTTGAAGCTATTTACCAATTATCCCTGCAGAGTTCAGTTTCTAATGCCAAACCCATCTCCAGCATCCAAAGGTCATCTAGCTTGCCATTTAATTATCACAGCATGGCTAAATGTGGAGTGCAACTCTCATTGTGCATAGCTACTCCCACTGGGTTCAATGGGCTTCCTCCCAAGTAAGCATGCTTAGGATCACAACCTAAGGAGGGAAAAAACATCTCTACCTGCTGAGTTGGGGGAATTTTTTAATTAACAGAGAGGGCTAAGGATAAGTGCCTGTTCATTAAGCAGAGTATTAAAAGTGGATTCCTAGAAACTGAAAAGACTCAGAATGGGTAAAGAGATTAGAAAAGCGTTTGCCTTCTATCTTGAAAACCCTCCTGGAATTATCTGGCCTAACCTAACATGTAAGATCTTAGGAAGCAGCCTGAAACTGAGTCAAGCCCTTGCTCCATCTAACCCAGTACTGGCAGCACTGACTGGCAGCAGTTCTCTGGGGTTTCAAACAGGGTTTGCTCCTAACTGTGCTCAGAGATGCTGGGAACTGGACACAAGGCCCTCTGCATTCATAGCAGGTGTTCTGTCCCTGAGCTTTGTCCCCAGCATTTGCCTTGCCGTTTTCCGTCCCATGCTAGGACCCGACACATTGGCTCAGGCTAGCTCTGTATTCGACAAGATGCCTGATTGCCAGAGGGCTTCTATGCAAGCAAGCGGGTCAGGCCCGCAGCGACCAACAGGCCCAGAGGGCTGACAGAGGAGGGGCAGATCACTTGGCAGAAGGCAGCCCTTTCTGTCCATCCATAAGCCTGCCATGCACTCGTGCTTCCACGCTCTTACCCAGCTAGTAAATCCTTGTGCAAGCTAGCAAATTCTCTGTGCTTATGAAGATGGACAGCTTCAAACCACTTTGTGAAACTCTTCTCCCCTCTCGACTGTCTAATATGTCCTAAAACGATCGACTTCAGCAGTAGGCAGCATATAAATGGAAGTATAAATAACGAAATAACAATCCTAATTATGCTTTCCACAAAAAAGAGGGACACAAGATAGAATGGTTCTTTCTGTTGCCAGCTGCTTATGGACAGAACAAAAGACCAGGGAGTACAGCATATTGGACTTCTGAATTACCCATTTCGCTTTTACTGGAAAAGCCGGCTGCCTGTCGGAGGGCTGCCGCTGTCAAGGCCAGTCCCCGGGTCCTCTTCAAACCATGCTGGAGTACAGATTCAAACTGAGCACAGAGGCACGTAACTCTGCAAAAGAACAGCCATGCAGTGAGAAACGCTATGGGAAAAGTAGAAAGGCCATCGGAAAGGGAAAAGAGGCCCGGAGCTAGATTTCAATGCAGTCCGCACCAACAGCCCAGGGTTAATGCCAAGTTGGGCTGACCTCTCATTTAGCATGGAAATCAATTTCCCCGAATGCTGAGATCTCATCTCCGATGGCCGTGCCTGCTGTTCACCCCTATAAGCAACACTGGGGAAGGCTTTTCATCCACCATACCCTAGAAAACTGGAAAGGCTGGGAAGACAACTTTGAAATGACAGCTTGCTTTTCTGGAAAGGCACAGAAGTTCACAGACAGAGACGGAATTATAGGTGAAGTTAAATTTAGGTTACGAGTCAAATCGGATACTCAGTCCTGAGACTTTGGGAAGAACTTGAGATGCATACGCCAAGGAATGGTGCCACAGTTAACCTATGGAATGCAATTCTTCAAGGCGGGCAATGGCTTTGATGGCTGTAAAAAGAAATTAGCCCAGGTCACAGATGATAAAGCTCCCAAGGCTACTAGTCATGATGGCTACATATCACCTCCGTTATGAGAGAAGTACACCAATTTGGGGGGAATGTGAGTGAGGGGGCGCTACTGCACTCATGCCCACCTTGTGGGCTTCCCATGGCCACTGGGTTGGCCACCATGGAAGATGAGACGCTGGAGGTAAGGGAACAACGCAGCAAAAAAGCAAAGCAAAGCAAATGCAAAACAAAACGGCAAAGGGGGCATTTCTCACCCACCCAGTGACCAACACTTGCTGCAAGCCACAGAAGTGCCCAGGAATTCAGAAACATTTTAATATATTTAAGAGAACGTCAAAGTAAGTTTAGTAAGCACTATTTCCATTTAGCAGATCTCTCTCTCTCTCTGTCTCTCTCTCTGTCTCTCTCTCTCTCTCTCAATGTTTAGGCACAGCAAGAAAATGTCAGACCAGAGTTACCATGTAGGCCATCTTCCATAATCTAATACCTTCTGATGCTTTGGACTGCAGTCTGCAGCCTTTCTGTCCACTGACCATGCTGACTGTGATTAATGTCTATTGATGTCTAAAGCATCCAAAGAGCACCAAGATGGAGAAGGCTGATGCAAGTAGCCCAAACGTCAGGGAACAGATGCACGAAGAGGAAGTTTAAAAGACAGGCACGTCAGGGAACAGATGCACGAAGAGGAAGTTTAAAAGACAGGCACACTAATTCACTCAAGCAGAATAGTTTCATAACACACTTGCATTTCAAATACAATGAAATGCACACAAGAAACTCCTTGCAAACATCAAAAATTGTGATAGTAAGCGCTACAATTTTTCAGTAAGAGAAGAGAAACTGAAGAATGTGGAAGTTCTTCTGTTTCTTCTCCTCAAAATAAGCTAGCCACATTCTAAGAAAATCAAAAGTATTTTCATAAGAAATAACCACTTCCCAACCACAGTAATCTCCAGGGCAGCCAAATCAATCATGAAGCACCACATGCGTGGGAGTGACCAAGCACGCTGGCTCCCACTCAGCTGAACAACTCAGGGATGCTCTGTGCTTGGGCACTTGTTCACAGTGTGTGACCCCAGAATTGTGGGTTGTTGGGGGAGGCACAACACACCTGATATGTCCACATGAATCACTGTTCCTGCCTCCATTCATTTGTGAGCTGGGTTTTGCACTTGTCTGTGTTCTCTGCTTTCCTACCATAGCTTACCAATAAATATTGTTATTTTAAAGTGAAATGTTTAGGAGGGTTGTATCTCATTTTTTCATTCTTTTATTTTTTTTGGCCAGCTACGGATACCTACTAGCAAAGGACAGGTGGCACTCTCTTCATAGAAAGGCTTTGTCAGCTAGTTGGCTAATAAGGTAAGGCTGCAAACCTGTAACCAACAGTCTTCGAGTGATCGTCTCTGCATTCATACATATGGGCTCTGCAGCTGCATAGGTTGTCGGTTAGTTAGAGAGTCCCTAGCCAGTGTTTCATGCCCCTTTCCCCAAATGCTATATAAAGGTGGGGCTTCCTCCAAAAATGCCTAGCTAGGGAATCTCTAAGGACCTTTCCAACAGCAGGACCTGAGCAGGTGCGGAGACCGTGTGTGTGATGCACCGAGACCACAAAGAAGAATTGGGTGTTATCTAAATACCAAGGGTTTGAAATGCTCCCCTGACAAACTGGGTCATGCCAGAGTGGAGGCTCTGGACAACTGCCTGACCACAAATGCACTTCCCAGGAAAAAGGTGGCTATTAAATAGCATGTCAAACTCACCTGCTATCCGAATCAGAAGCAATCTCTTTCCTTCCTCCAAATCTGATCTGGCACTGTAAAAAAGGAAGAGGAGAAGGCAGAGAAAAGGAGAAATAAGAGAGCAGGTAGACTGACACTAAAAAGTCACCTGAAATGTCGTCCTATCCCCCATATCTGTTGTTGCCACTCACCTCCCCATCCCTCCACCCCAATTCTCTGCACATGGCCACGAGCACCGGAGCTGCAGGTTGCACTTAGAGGTATTCTTGTAATGTCTTTCCACTGCGGCAGCCTGACACACAGAGCAGGGGCTGTCCCCTCCACATCTTCTGCTCGTGCCAGAGGACTCAGAAGAGGGGAGACCAGCCTTGCGTGCTCCAGGACCCCTTAAGCAGCCTGCCCAAGCTGTTCAGAGCAGCCTCTGAAGAGCTGCTCTGCCCACCGCTGCCAAATGCACTGAGCAGAGAGGGGTCTGCTCAGCTGTTCTGGCACTGTCTTTGGCATCCCCTTCTCGGGAAGGTTTGCCTGGCACCACCTTGGTTTTCTTCCGAGCCCTTGGAGAACACCTAGTTAATTAAACTGCCCTAGGCTGTAAGTTGCTCAGTGTTGTTTTAGGCGGCTCTTTCGCAGAATTGCTCAGCCTGTTTTACTGCGATTTTGTCAGCCATTTTAATTACTTATTTTAAATAATTTAAAAGTGTTGATAAATCATGTATGTCTACAGATTCCAAAACAGTGTACAGAAATCATAAAAAGATGCATCTATAAAAGCAATACATGGATCTCTATATGCCTAAGATGGCACACGGGGAAGGCTTGCACAAATAAAGCATGCACTTAAAGAGAAAACTGGTTGGCATGTGTGTGCTCTCCAGGGGAAGTTTACTCCAGACAGTTGAAATGACCTGCTCTGAATAACTGTGGCGACAAGCACAAAATTGTTGTCATTAATATGTCTTTATTTCATTTCTATGCCAGTCCACAGACAAAGCCCTCGGGGGGGGGGATAATTCATTGTTTTGAAAGAGTGCTCTTTATTGTGCGGCCTAATTTTGCACGCTGTCCCAGCTGGCCTTCTACCCACTCCGTCCAAACAGATTAGAACACATGCTTTCTAACTATCTTTATGAAAGATAACCAGCAATGCTGGCTTTATAGCTCAAAGAAGGGTATTGCAGGACTAAATAACGAAAGAAACAAGCCAAGTTCGAACATATTGGCCACTAGATGGAAGAGAGCATAAACTACACCTCCAGGGTGGGTCTTTGTTTTAGAGTCAGTTGCTCAGAGTGTCCACCACTCAGCTGGTCCCCCCTCTTAACCTGATGCGGTACCCTCGACATCAGCTTGCGTACTACATCATCTCACAAAACTTGAAATTGTGTGACTTTCAGCAGCTGTGAAGCTTATCTCTGGGTCTGCCGGCCATGGCCTTTCAGCTGTGGATTCTGACAGCACCTCCTCACCTAAATCAGAATCTGTATTTACAACCTTTGAAGACTCCTTCATAGAAGACGACTCATTCCTAACCCAAGCTGACCCAGAAGCTTTTGCTGTATTGCCCTAATAAAATTAAACTAGAATAAATTTGCAGAAGGCTGAAATATTATTTCGCTTCCCTTCTGCACAGCACCCCCACCCCCCATGAGACAAGAAACCGATCCTGCCCCACCCTAAAGTCCTCCATAGCCAAATAATAACTCAGGTAAGGAACAGTTTCCACTGGCAAGCTAGCAAGGAGATTACTTGCTTTAGTCAAACCTATGCTACCTAGAACCAAAATTGGACAATGCCATTGATAAAATATGTATAAAGGCAAGTACAGTAATTGCATCAGGACATTTTTGCTTACCTGTCTTCAGACTAGAAAAGAATGTGGGACAGACCAAGCAAAATACAGAACCAAGACATACCCACTTGTACAGAACAGTCCCAACGAAGGCAGCTCCAATTACAATTAGCAGTCCTTCCTCCATAGAGGCATCCTTTCCTCCTTCTAGCTCCAATGTCTTACCTGTTTAACTGCATCCAGGAGTCTCTCCAGCAGAAACTGTCTTTTGGCAACATTGTTTTGCAGTCCTAGGAAGCAAGCATGCAAAAACAAGTATGTATTAAATAGATTTATCAGTAACGTACACAGTTCATCTGATATGCCAATGTTCCACTGGAGCCAATCAAGTTCTTTTCATAGTGGGAAGAAAACAACCACACAATATGAACTTGAGAAAATCACGTAGAAGGAAAGAAGTTGCATATACACCCTCACGCCCCTTAAGATCTGTGGGAGAAGCCCTGCTCCAGGAAACCTCTCTAACAGAGGTAAAAACGTCATCAACTCAGAGTAGGGCCTTCTCTGCTGTGGCGCCCAGACTCTGGAATGTACTCCCCAGAGAGGTACGCCTGGCGCCAAGTTTATACTCTTCTCAGTGCCAGGTCAAAACCTTTTTATTTAAACAGTATTTTAAAATTTAACAACTTTTAACCTTCAGTTTGCTTTGTGATTTATTGTTTTGTTCTGTTTCTATTATTTATTAGAAATTGTTGTTTCAATTCTTCTTTTAAATATTGTAAGCCGTCCTGAGATTTTTGTATAATAGGACGGCACACAAAAGCTTTTAATAAATAAATGGGGAATGTTAACCATCACGGCAGTTCAGAAACTCAGATTCGTATAGCCACATGTCTCTCTCTCTCAAATAGCAAACTCAGAAAGTCAAAATGGGGCCAGAGAAATGGCACTGCAGGCTCAAGGAAATCCCAGCTTGTGCAGGAGCACCAAAGAAGCCTTTGCAAGGCCAGCAAAGGGGAGGCAAATCTCCGCGAAAAGAGCAGCCTGCTGAGGAATGAGATGCCTTGGAGTGTTAACGGTCAGCTGGTAAATGAAAAAGGAAATGCTGGAGGGCCGGAAGGTGAATGGATTCGCTTGAGTCTCTTAGGGCACCATTCTATGCCCCCTCCCCACAATATCAGCTGGGGACCACAGGACGACCTGGCTCCCCAGCTCAGAGATCCTGTGGATTCAGAGCCGGGCTCCGAAGACTCAGCCGCAGCCCCGCACAGCAGGCGTGGAAAGGGCCGCTGCTCCAAAGACACTACGGCTGGGCCTCAGAGGAGCAGAAAGGGGGCACACCGGGGGAGGGGGGCCGCCTCTCATGCAAGCTCCTTTCAGCACCACAGCTTCCTTTCCCCCTCCAGGCCTTAGCCTAGAAGGCTGGAAAATGCATCCGGCAAGGCACCGTGAATGAAGGGGGTCATCACCAACGCCATACCTCGCTCTGTGCATTCAAGGTGCAGGTAACTGAACAGCACCCCTGGCGGCTTGCCCTGCCCGAGGAGCCGTGAAGAACCCCAAGCAGGAACGCTGTTACCGGAGGGGCAAACCTAAACTGCAGCATTTTACTGACGGGGTTGGCAAACTGGTGCTCTCCTGATTTTGGGGCCACTGGTCATGATGGCTGATGGGACCCACAGTTAGGGTGGATTTGATCAATTTAAATCACTAGGCAGTAAGAGCAGATTTAAATAATACTTTTCTACATAATCTGCACAGAGGCCTGCCTTACGCGTAGGTAGAGGAGCTTCATTAAAATATTCCCAGACTGGATCACTTTCATGGCCTGCTGCCAGTATAGGGTTTCTCCCACAAGGAAAGAATAAGATAAACCTCGGGCTGTACACAAAAAGATCCAAAGACTGTGGAGTACTCGGCTCAAAAGAGTTCGCTTTCACTGCTTGCTTTCTCTCCTCACACTTAGCTTCTTGTGCAGAGCTGTCCCCATTCCCGACAGTCCTCTATTCATTGGAGTTTTTGAAACTTAGCACTTAAGAGGTAAGAGTTGGTTCTGTGTACAGAGATTTGCAAAGGAACAATGGGATTACGGTCTTTTTCTTAACCCTGCATGTTTATTTTACAGCATTTTTTTGCTGTGAAGAAGAGGCATGTGATCTCTGCGGACACAAATCCACAGTTCTGAAAACCAAGCACCTGTGACAGTATCTTCTAGACAGAAAAAATGTCCAATAATTTTGCAGAAACCTCTGGAAGAGCATGACATTGTGACTTGATTAATGGAATTCATTTTCCAAAAAAATTAAACACTGCATTAATATACAGCCTCATGCTACATAATTAAAAATTAATCCTTATTTCATGATGATTAACCTTTGATTAAACTTGATTTCCAGTTAATATTGGCTACAGTGGGCTGCAGGCAGCAGGGATTCTGTCCAAGTGGGAAGTTTCCACGGAGGCACTGGGGAAAGCACCAAATTTTATCCTCAAACCTTCCCCATTCCCATGTAGTTTAACAAAGCTTTCCCTGGAATCTTCTCCCTGGAAATTTCCACCGACAAAGCAGCATAATCCAACCTTATCGGCCATCTGATAAACAAGAAAGTTGGCCTCCTCGAAGGAAGAATGGCTTTTCTTCAATGTCTCAGTGCTGCACCTGAGATCTTCTGCAGGGTCAGTGGTCATGGCAAATCCCGCACAGAATTACCAGTTCAAGGTCGGACGGCACTGCTGGCTTGGCCTTTGCCAAAAGCAGCATTTTTCTTTAAGACCAGTTCTGTGAAATTCAGTACCAGCTCACAGTCTTGCCATTTTTGCTGGGTCCAAATGAAAACATTAGCGGGGGAAAACAGAGGGAAACAGTCCTCTAACAGACCCATTCAGGCTGCCTGCACTCTTCACCAAAATGCAGTCAAAGCAAATACATGCTAGGATGCTTTCCTTTGCAAGTACAGATATTTGCAAGAAGCCAGAGCTGCAGAAAAGACCAGGAATAGGCGACTCGGATCTTTCCTGAAGTTTTAGACAACTAGCATTCTTCTTAAACACAATGGCCAGAGATTGTAAGAGTTGAAGTCCAAAATATCTGCAAGGCATCAGGTGGTCTCTCCCCGAATAAAAGCATAATGATAACATACTGTGAACCGTTTTAAGATTTATATAATTATTACCATTATAACATTACTGCGATATTCAGGTTTTTCTTTCTCTTGCAAGGAACCTAAGATAGCTTACATAGTCCTTCACCACTCCATTTTATCCTCATAACAACAACCTTATGAGGTAGATGAGGCGGGGAACATGTGAGCAGCAATCAGAAGCCAAATCTCCTCATGGGCCAATGGGAATTAGAACCAAGATATCCTGGGTCCCAGTCCAACATTCCCGGCCCATCCACCAGACTGGCTCTCATTTATTTACTTGTTCATTCTGGAAAAAAAATGAAAAGCGGCACAGCGTTCTCTGAAGCCTGAAAAGAAAAGAAGTCTGTTGGACCAGGCGAAAGGAAGCAGCCTGTTCCGAGAACGCTTCCCAGCCGCTGCCTCTGATCCCAGGGGCCTCATGGAGACCTTGTGACCAGCAGCCCCCAATATCCTGATAAATCCGTCTAATCTCTTTAAAATTCAGCGCAAGGAGTGGCGATCACACATCTTGCAGCAGCAATTTAACGTATATCACTGAGAGCCCGTGTGGTGTGGTGGTTACAAGCACCGGATGGGGATTCACGCAAACTAGGTCCCAGTCCCCTCTCGGCCATGGAGCCAACCGGGTAACTTTGGGCCAGGCATAAGCTCTTGCTCCCACCAGCAGAACCACTCTTGGCAAGCGAAGGTAACATTGAGCTATACGGACTAACAATCTTGCATACTGAATAAGCTGTCTGAGAAGCCTGGTGAGGAGGCCTTCAAGGTTTAACAGGCATTGTAGTGAACACCCACAGTGTCCAGTTAGCATTCTCTGGTCAGCGTCCAACCCAAACAGAGGCTACCTTGGCTGGCCCAGGCCTCTGAGTCATTGTCATCAGTTTTCTATGCTCCTATGGAAGACTACAACTCTCTCTCTCTCACACTCACACACACACACACAGTAACTTTCATCATATTCTCCAGTGTCTGAATTCCCCTGCTCTGCATGCACAGCTGGACCTCACTTAATCATCACGAATTGCAAAGACTTACTCAGCCTTTTCCCACAATCACAATGCTTCTGAGACACGTGGGTTCCAAACCTGGATTCACAGTTCCAACTGATCTCCAGTTTTCCTGCACAAAGCAAACAGGGACAGAGAAGGCAAAGGCACAGGGAGGTCATCTGTGACCTCAAAGCTACTGCCCTGCTAAAGCCCGCATTTCCTATTGTTAACACCAAAATCCAGATTGCTCGGCATTTCCTGTTTCAGTTCCAAGAAAGCTCCAACAACTCAAAGGTAGCTTCAACAGCATCCCACAGCTCAGCTCCTACAGGGATGCAAATTTCCACCACAGCAGCTCATCTCCTTGCATCGCTGGCCCATGCTCCACAGCGAGCAACTGGCAGAATACAGGAGGGCAAATGAGGTTCAGAGGGCACCAGCGCTTTGTCAAAACCTCCTTCGTATTTGTTGCACACACTTGTTGCTCTCTTCAGTGCAGCAGACCCTGCCAGGTGATTCACAACAACATCAACACAGTAAAGACCAAAAGCAACAGAGATAAAACCAGCCATTCAAGCAAATGTTAAGACACGCTATGTAAAAGGAATTGGCCTGGCACCAAGGAAGGAAGGCAGGCAGGCAGTCAGGCAGGCAAATGGTGGCACAGACATGGTGCCAGCCTCCATAGTGGGTGTTTCATAACTAAGGGGCTAGCACTGAAGAGGCCATCTCCTTGGCCACTACCACCTCAGCTCAGACAGAAGGAACACCTGGGAGAGAGCCCTCCATCAATAACACAGGTAGCCTGATGCAGGAACAGAGCTTCTTCGGGTACCCAGGTTATCAAGCCACGCACAGTTCTGAAATTAAGCACCAGTTATTTATATTGTGCGGGGAAAGAGACCAGAAGACAGGTTTGCTTCTTACTCGCTGGAGGAATGCCACAACAGGTTGCACAGGAAGAATCTGAAAAGCTAAATGGAGGGAGACAATCACTTTTGGGAAGCAGGACTTGATTCCCACGGGCATCAGTGGTTCCCTTGCATCAGACGGCAGCCTCCTGACGAGGGTCAGCCTACCTAACAGAAAGGCAAGGGTGACCAGAAGGAGAGGAGCTGCATATGCATGCAAAGGAAAGAACTCGTTGGCTGCATCCTTCCAGGAAGAAAAACAGGAGATACAGAGGAGGGAGGCTGGGGTTTACGTGACCCCTTCCCCTGGACGGGGCCAAAAGGAACTGCTGAAGAGTGATTCTCCCTTCTGGCGGAGGCCATTCTGAGTTCATCGGCAGGGTTGGTCCTCTTTGCACTCATTAGCTGAGTTCACTGCGAAGGGAAGAATTTTGGCAAGGACGGGGATATTAAGGCAAACAGCGCAATGAAAAATTAGGCAATGCCCCTTGTTTCATCACATCCCTTGGGGAGGAGAGGGAATTCAACCTACCCACACAACACTCAATAAATATTTATAGATTCACATGTCTCTTTTGTGGATATTTTTTATTTAAATGTTAGAGCTATGCTGTACAGATGCGGTGCATTTATTTTATTTATCACATTTGTATGCCGCCCCATAGCCAGAGACTCTCTGGGAGGCTCAAAGCTCAACTATTAAAAAATGCAAATAAAAATAGATAACAACTAAAACCATAAAACATAATAGGAGTCAAATAAAATATAAATAAGCATTGTGTGGTAGTCAAGAGGGTAGGATTAGGATTCAGCTGATCTGGGTTCAGTCCCCACACTAGGTAGCTTTAGGTCAGCTGCAGGCTCTCAGCCCAGCCTCCCTCACAGGTTGTTGTTGTGAGGATAAGACTGGGAGGAGGAAAAGAATTATGTAAGACGCCTTGAGTTCCTTGATAGGGAAAAAGGCAGGATGTCAATCTAATAAATAAAGATAACATAGTTTTAACAGCCGCCACTTGTTATTATAGGGATGTTACTGTTTTCTTGCATACCACTTGGGAATCTGATTCAGCAATGGGTGGGAGGAGGGGGGAATCTCTCTGAATATAATTTAATTAAGTCCTGCAGGCTACCCAAAAAAAATGTCTAGAGGGAGCAAAGCCACGCATGTTGACTCCTTGGGGAATGCCAAGAATTGTAACTGCTTTTCCTGCCTAAACTTTCATAGGATTGCACACTAATTCACATTCCATGGAATGGCACTATTTCTATGGGCTTCTTCCTGGAAGCTTAAGCTATTTAGAATGCATCCCGTGGCAATGCCCATAAGCCCCAGCTGTGGAGGTTCATGGGAAGCAGAATGTGCCGCACAGGCACTCACTGCTTCCTTGCTCCTCCCATTCCTCATTGTTTCTAGCCAGCCTCATCTTCAGCCATCTAGTGACAGCACAGAGTTTGCATGCCATGGCTCAATCAAGGGAGGCTGCAGCCAAGGAATCAGAAGATCACCGAGATGTGAAAGGGCAGCAATGAAGGAACTAAAAAAACAAAAACCAATCATCAAGTATAAGGAAATTTCATTGGAGGATAAGGCCAAGATTATCCGCACTGTTATATTCCTGATCATAATGCGTGAGTGTGAAGGCTAGACAGTGACCAAAGCTGCCAGCAAAAGAGCTGGCACTGAAGGAAAGCTCTGTGAGTACCCTGGACCAACTGAAGGATGGGTCCCAGACCAAGTCAAGCCAAAACTGCAGCAGTCAAACCTTGGGCACATCATGAGAGAAGGCAATCATGCTAGGGAAACTTGAAAGCAGAAGAAAAAGAGGAAGACCCATTAGGAGATGGATGGTTTCCATGAAGGAAATCACAGCCTTGAGTTGAGCAGGGCTGTGCAGAAGACGACATTTGGGAAGGTATTCATTCGCAGGAATGTCCTAAGTCAGAGATGAATTGGCAGCACGTAACCAAGAGTAACAGCCTTTCAGAGAGGCGGAGAAGGAAGCCAAAGCGGCTTCAGAATACCTTGTAAACTGGTCTTCTTCCCTTTCCCCCAAACACCGTTTTCCCCCTCTCCGAGGCTGTTCTCCTGACCTCAGAGAGCAGCTGGAGTGGTTCTTTCCACACTGGCTCCAAAAGAGAGGAGAATGTCAACTGGAGCACTAAGTCCTGGGTCCAAGTTCAAACACTACTTCTGAAGTGCAAACGTGAACTATCTTCTGGCCCCACAGAGTACATCTAGGATTACCCCATTACATATCACAGATGTCATAGTATTAACATGGGTGTTTATATATAGCAGGTACATTAAAGGAGAGCCGATGTGATAAGTTAGATTTAATACAGGAAAGCAGGGTGGAGTGGCTATCATAAAGCTGAGAAAAATTCCAGGCCCTGCTGACTCAAGGGCCAAGGTGTTAAATTTTTTTGTCCCGACCAGTGATTATGACTTTGGCAACTACAGTGTCATAAATCCATACTCAATCCAAATACACACATGACTCAGTCCAATCCTATGCATATTTATACAGATGACAAAGTTGTTGTGTGATGTGCACAGAATTTCCAGCTTGAGCTGTTAATAGCTTGCATGGCTAATAAAAGCATCTGAGAACTAAAGAAATATGCAAATACAGATTTCTAACCTATTGAGACCTGGTTATATCAAAATAACTGTGCAGTTTCCGTTCACAATGCTACTATTCATGACTTTTCTGTATTTTATTTTTATCTCACCTTTCTTCCAAAGAACTGGAGTCAGCATAGAGTCCCCACCCTCACCCAATTTCATCACAACCGCCCAGTGAAGTAGCTTTGCTTGAAAGATGGCAAACAGCTCAGGAAAACTCTGAGGCAAATTGGGGGTTTGAAGCCAGCATTCCACTGCTTCACAAAGCACAACAGATTTGTAAGATCAGTTTAATTTCTCCCCAACTTTGTGATTTCAGGCATATGTTTAAATGACAAAACTGTACTTCAGGCACTTCATGAGAATATGAGACTCTCTAGAGAAGGCAAAAATGCTAGTGAAAGTCAAAGGCAGAGAAAGCATTGGAAAACCAAACATGAGATGGATTGATTCCATAAAGAAAGCCACAACCTTGATGTCACACGGCTGCGAAGAAAAGGACATTTTGGCAGGCATTCCTTCATAGGGTTGCTGTAAGTAAAAGGTGACTTGACAGCACATAACAACCGCATATTTGTGTTTTATATTGCTCTCTCACATTGTATGTATTTTGATTATGTATCTGAATGTTAGCTGTCCTGAGAGCCAACTAAACTCATTGAAGTTACATGAACAGCTGCTTTTAGTTATTGCATGTAACTCGATGTTATTGATTTAGTGCTCTGTTTTTATTTATGTATATTGCCCTGAAAGCTTTGGAACAGGGCCACTCCCAAGTTCAATAAAATAAAAATGCTCAAGATAAAAACAAAATAAATATGTATTATCCTTCTCCTCCTCACCAATCTCCCATGTGATTCTATTCTTGGTCCTTGTTCTAAGCCATTTTATGTTGCTGCCTAAGGCAGATAAGGAATAAGAATAGCATAGCTACTAACAAGCCTCTCCCCCATACTTGGACGAGGATGCTGAGAGCAAAGCATTTAGGTGGTTTTTAAGTTATTCCAGCATCAGCTGGATTAACCATCTCTAAATTACCACAAGCTGGAGTGGAGTAAGTGCTATCAGAACTAGTTTGGGGTTCTCCCCCTCCCCATTACTTGGTTTGGGGCAATCCAGGAGTTAAGTGGTTAAGGAAGTCACTGGTATTCCTACACAAACTACAGGGCTTAAAACAATCAACTTCTTAAAAGAAAGACAGCATAAGTCAATACTTCACAATGAAGTGTAAGATTTAAACATTACTTGGTAAAGTAAAAAAACAAAGAGCAGTTATTATTAAATCGCCAGTGATCAAAACTGTCAAACAGTATCTGGACAGCTTTAGCTATCCAACTACAAATGAAAACAAAACTCCACACACTTATATTAAACGCACCAATCTTTGATAGGCGACTTCCTCCATAAACTTATGTCTCAGTAATTCTACTGACAAGTAACTGTTCTCAACTCTCAAATTCACCATCATGGGCTAGAATAACGAAGCCACAAAGGGACCCTGATGTCCAGTCAGCAACAATGGAAGAGGCTGGGAGGAAATGAATAACTCGGCTTTGAGCGATGGAACAATAGCCAGAGCAGACCCATCGCTCCGATGGGGAGGGGAGGCACAAATGGATTAAGCACGGACCAATTGTGCGCAGACTTCGCCTGAATCTCGCTTTCATTTCCAGGCTGTATGGTACAGAAAACAAGAGCCAAGTCTTTGCTATGGCAGATGAAGTGAAAGGCTAAAAGGCGAGGGACCTCTCCACGCATGTGCAAAATGCCCAGTTGCCCCTGTTACCCACAAACAGTAAGCAAACAGCAAGGGTATTCCTGAGCTTATGAAAACTACCCAGTGCCTGATAGCTAAGCCCTATAAAGGTCTGCAAAGGTGTGCCCCCCACCGTGTTGGCCTGCAACTTCCATCACCCCAGGTAATACAGCCAAGATGAGGAATGATGGGATCTGCAGTCCAACAACATCTGTAGTCCAACAAGGGTTACGTGTTTCTCATCCCTGCCTTGATCATGGGGGGGGCGGCGGCAGCAGCAGCAGTGAACCACTGAGCACTCGCAGGATGCCAAAGAATTGACTCCCATCACCCATTATGTGCTAATAAGAGCACAGAATGCCCGAGCATATACAAAGTGCCCAATACCAAACAGCTGAGCCCAGGGAGCTCTGAAGGGCTACCAGACAAACAAAAGCACCTGCAGAGAGGGCCGTGCCAAGCAGCTGAGCCGGGCGATCCGGGCAAGCTAAGGAAGCCGCACCCGCGCCCGCCCTGCCTCTCCAGCGGGAGCGCCTCCTCGCCGGCACATGGGAAAACAAGGGGCTGCGGGGACGCCGCGCGCCGGCGCCTCTCCGGAGCCGCGGCGAAGCGGGACCGGCGCGCCACTTACCGCTCATGGCGCGCCGCTCGCCCCGCCGGCCGCGCCCCGCGGCAGGCAGAGCCCCGGCCCGGCGCCTCCGGCAGCGGCTCCCCGCCTCGCCGCGTCAAAAGCCCCGAGCCGCGCGGACCGGCCCCTTCCGGAAGCGCGCCGCGCCCCGGAAGCAAAACACGCCGGACCCGGAAGGCGCCCTCGAAGTCGGCGCGTTCGCCGAGGCTGCCGCCGCCGATGATGCGCGGGGGGGATGTAAGTGCTTTGCCCCCCCCCCGTTTCGCCCGCGCGCCCTCCGGGGGGAGGCACGTGAAAGGGCCCCGCAGCCGCCCCCGCCCCCCCGCCGTGCCTGTGCGCGCGACAGCCCCCCTCCCGCCCGCGCTTCCCACTGTTGGGTGACCGTGCTTGCAATAGCTTCGCCCCCCTTTCTCCCACCCCCTTCCCGCCACTTGTGGGGGTTTGCAAGTGCTTCAGCGCCGCCTCCAGCGCCAGGGTTTAGTCCGAGCACTGCTTTCCGCTGTTCAAGAATGCTGTCCAGCCCCCCTCTACGCGCGATGGAGGAACACCTCCCAGGCTGTTCTAATGGAAGAATAAACACCTAAACGCTTCCTTTCCCGATTGGATGAAAACCAAGCTTCTGCTGCACGTTTTTCCAACGGTACAAGATGTGTCCAGTTACACATTAGAGTATAATCGACCATGCGGAGTGCACATTAGGCCGTGGAGAGATAACTTCTTCCCACAGCTATGCATGTAGAGTGGGATTGTCTTTTCCTACGGTGCTGTTTCTTCACTCCCGCCATCACTTCTGTGTCATTTACTGCTGTCCAGAGTAGCTCTCCCCCCATCCTGGTGCTCTCCAGTTCCCAGCATCTGCCACCACTGGTTCAGCTGTCTGAGGGTGATGGAAGTTGGACCATGACATTATTAAGATGCCACCAAGTCTGGGAAGGCTGGTTCAGAGGATGGGGAACCCACCACCTTCCAAGTGTTGCTGAACTACAATTCCCGTAGTCCTTGTCAGTTGGCCAAGCTGGGGCTGGTGGGAGTTGCAATCCCAACAGAAAACCCACTGGATCCCCCACCCTTGCTGACAAAGATGGTGATGTGATCTAAGAGAGCCAGTGAAGTATGGTGGTTAGTGAAGCCTTCCCTTAAAATGAACTGCTTCCAGAAGGAGGGTTCCTAGCACTACCAATCCAAAATCCTTGTGAAACTAGTCTGCTTTTTCCCTTTAATGGCTTTGCTTCCAATAATATTATTAAATATTGTCATTTGTATATTGTGCTGAGGGAACAATAGTTGGGTAAGACCTCTTTCAAAAGGTCTCCCTGTGAGAGTGTAAGCTATCTACCTGGCGGGCAAAATGGTGATCTAATGTTTTCAATCTGTGTAAGTATTTTCTATCCATATTAATAAGTATTGGGAAAATGTAAAGGATAATGCTGTGCCTTGCCAAAAAGATTCAAAACTTAAAGCTGACAAGTGTTGTCTGCACTTGGGAAAGTACAGGCAGCCCAGTGCCCCAAGAAACCCTGGAGGATTCTGCCACAAGAGGTACTTTCCATACATACCCACTTCAAAAGTTTTAAAAAATAGTATGCTACAATATTGCAAGTACTGTACATCTGTGCCAAATTACAACTTTGTAGCCCATTGATTTTTTTTTTAGGAGTGTGGAATACAGCTTTTGCCTCAGACCTGCCAAGATTTGGGGGGGGGGGGGTAATAGTTAAGCCATGCCAACATTAAACGACTTTCTGTAGCTCAGGGGACCTTTTGGTGCTCTGGTAGCATCCCCTGGGATACTGCAAGAGAACTGAGGGTGAGAGGGAGAAGGAAGAGGCCTACTGCCCCGATCCTTTCTCAGGCATAGGGGAATTTTAACCAAAGCACATGGTTAAAATTCCCAAGGGGATGAATGTGTTGTGCAAACTAAACAGTTACTGGCTGCAACCTAGGAGACGCCCATTCTTGAATTAGAACTAAGTTGGGGGAGCCATGACTGATAGAATCCAGTTCTCCTCAGATTAACTGGGCATAGGAAAGAGTATGGGACAATGGGAGTTGTAGTCAAGCAGCACCTGAGCTGCATCTTTTCAGTCCCAGAAATAGAGGCTGATGACTCCCTAAAGCCTTCTGTGCTTGAATCTATTTCAAACGATTGTTGCAGGGGTGCAAAACATCCAGCCAGTGGGCCGAATCCAAATGTGGCCCTCAGGTTCTCCAAGTGCCCACTTCACCTTTCCTCAAGCGCCAGCCCTTTGGTGATTCCACAGCTTTTTCTCTGAGAAGAATGCTAGTTTCCCAACAACTGCATTTCATAGAATCATTTGTAATTTCCTGGATGGCAAACCCCCATCTGTGCAATTGCAAGATCTTTCACACTTTTGTATTTTTCCATGTAGTCTCTGTACTGTCATATTACCAAACTCATGTTAAAACATACACCCCATTTTTTTTCTATTTTGTTCTTTAAAAAAAATTCATTTACAAACTGCAAAGAATGGGTGGCTAAAACTGAAATAATTGGTACCATTCTGCAGCAGAAATTGTTTAACCGAACTCCTACACCCTAAATAAACCACTCTGGAAATGGTGGTTCTTAAATTAAGTTTATTCTCTGTGATCATCAAGTGTAGCTAAGTATAGAGACCTTACTGAGAGGGATTAGTTATGGCAGCACAGATAAATTGCCACGTCTACCAGAAACCCCAAACTAAATTGGTTTCACACACACACACAAAACAAATCTGTCTTTGACATAATCATGGACTCAAGAGTGACACCCAGTGACAAAACTGCAAAAATTCTGGTTTTGGAACAAACATTTATATGCCATTTATGAAATGTAAAATCCTATCATACTAAATTAGAAACAGCTTTTTTGATTTATGTTTTTAGGCTATTTTCCCCTCTTACCCCAAAAAACCCAATGCGGAAGTCATAATTTAATTTCCCCAGTGGGCATGGAATTTTGTATTTTGTGTCTGTAATTGAGATAAGCATACTCCAAGCTTGCGTGGTCTACTATAGATATAGATACAAGTATGTATGTACTGCAAGATCCACCCCCCACGGTCAGGTGCAAAGGACACACCTGACACAGAGAATTCTGAGCCTCGGAATTGGCTTTGAGTGCCCTAAACTGAGCTTCTATGCATACCACATTCACCATCCCTCTTTATTTCAACAGTATAATTATGGGGGTGGGGGTCTTTTTGTTGTCTCCACTATTAAAACAATTGGGAAATCGGAAATACTTGATCGAGTGCAAATAATCCAGAGTATCTTGCTCTACTATCTGCTTACCCCAGCTTGTAAAACAGAAACCTTTAATATTTTGCAAGCACTGCCATGGTCATCCTCAACTTTGGGACTCCGTTTTAAGCTGCTTTACTGTAGCCTTCCGCAACTTGGTGCCTCTCAGGAAAATGCAGTGGACAGATCTATACTTATTTACCACAATTTAACCCCACACTTCAGCCACAAAAGGCTTCTGAGCAGCTTACAAGGGTTAATAATAAAGGATGTTCTGCTCTTGGGCTTACAAACTAAAAGACATGGCACAAAAGGAAAAGGAATTGGGAGGGTGAAGGAAAGAAAGCAGAATTCAGGAAACAGGTCTATAGGAGTCGACCGTGAAAGGGTCACAGGCAAGGCAAGGCCATGCCTAGGGATGCCAGCTGGTATGGCTTCATTCAGGGTGGGAAAGCCCATTGACTCGGGCCAAACAACACAATAACCCACGCTCAAGGGTTGAGTATGGGTTGGCACTCAAACTCTGACTTGTTTTTGAAATGTGAGTGGTTGTGTGGTCTGAACCCACAGCTCACAACCCAACAGCAAAATCAGGGGTTCCCCCCATGGGTTGTTTGTGGTTAACAAGCCATGACCTTTTAGTGTGGCTTGATAAGCCACATTTCAACCACAACCCACAGTTCAACAACTGCCCACACTCCACTTACCCCCAAGCCCTGAGTGTGGGTTATCGAATTGTCTGAACCGTGTATCTAATTCTGGTGGCTGGGCAAGCTTGCTTAGCAGCTTTGCTGGATGCGATGCAAAGCCCTTCCGACCTATGGAAAGGCAAGGCCATTCACCAGTAGTAAATAAGGCTGAAATGCTTCCCAGGCAGCTAGCCAGTACTTAATCAGGTAAGAGACAGAAGAGATGCTCCAGTGAACCAGAGACAGGAACAGCGGTGGAAGCTGGCATGTGTGGCTAGACATCAAGCCAATCAGCTTGGCTCACACAGGTTTTGTTCCAGTAATTGTGATTGTGCAGAGCTGTGTGAAAGCTGAGGATGCAATACAGTCAGGCAATATGTTGAACCCAGGGGCAGAACATGGAACTGCCCGGGCTGCTCCCCAAGCGAAGCATGTTGCCAGACGGTGCCTATTGCAGGAGTGAATGACACGTGCTCTCGCTTTGCTTTTCTGTTAAACCAATAAACGAACATTAGCTGCCGCAGACCAAATATTGGATGGGGCAAATGGTGCTGTAAACAGATGATGTATCATCTGAACGGGATGTAAACATTAATCATGGACCTTGGTTCAGAAGAAATTATTTCTTAAGTTACCATCCGGACTGAGAGCCAAAGCATTGTGGGTCGACTGAAAAGCGTTGTGTTCACACCCTTATAGTGACACTGAAGGTAAAGTCCAGATAAGCTGTAATCAGAGTAGACCTACTGAAATGAATGGACTCCAAGGGGTCATAATGGTATGTTTCCCCATTTATTTCAATGATTCCAAGTAGGACATTGCTTTCTGCATGTTTAATCAACCAGTCTTCCTGACCTTAAGCAGCCTCTGAACCCCTTCCATCTATACTTGACATTTATTCCCATGGAGTTCAGTCCACCTGGCCTGGTATTTTTGCCAGCACCAGGGCACAGGCAGTTCTCAAAGGTTTGAGAGGGCGTCAAAGCTGGGAAGCACCTTGTTGCTTAGGCAAAAGTTCAGCCCAAGTCCAAGCAGCCTCAATGTCCTTCCCATTCAGGAGGTCCAATGGCCAGTCTGGGTGGATGGAGTTTTTCTAGATCCCGAAAGGGATGTTTCACAGTGCAGGTACGTTGAGGTGCTCAGCAGTGTGCCTGGCACCTCTCTTGGTGCCCACCACACTCTCTGCCTTGAGTTATGCGTTAGCCTCCCTCCCCTGCCAGCTACAACGTTATGGCCATGCAGATGTGTCACTTCTTCCTTTGCCTGTTACAATGGGCCATGCAAAGACCACTTCACAAGCATGAAAGACGAGCCCTGCCGGATTACACCAAGTATCCATGTAGTCCACACTGGTCAACCCACTGCTCACAGGAAGCCAACAAGCAGGACAGGAGTGCAACAGCACCCGTGAACCCATGTGCCCCAGCAACTGGAGGACACAAGTATACTGCCTCTGGTAGTGTAGGCAGTGTTTAGCCATCAGGACTACCTTCTCCTCCAAGGATTCGTCACTCCTCTCCTAAAGCCATCCAGCTTGGTGGCCCGCATCACTGCATCTTGTTGAAGCAAATTCCATAAAACGTTTCTGCACTGTCTGGAGAAGTTCTTCCTTTGATCTGTCCTGATCCTTCCACCAACCAGCTTCTGGGATGTCCACTGGGTTCTAATAATGTTTCTGTGTTGGAAAATCCACTGTTGCTAAAACAATCTGGTGCCATTGGCTCATTATCAAGGCTTTCAGACCTGTTGACTTTGCCATGATTACTGATCCATGGTGGCCCTTCAACTGAATGAGAACAACGCATAACAGTTTGAGGTTCATACAATTCTGTCCCACAGTCCAGTCCTTAAATAGTTTCTAGAACAGCTAACAAATCAAGAACAATTAAAAGCAAATGATAAACCTTCCCAAACAGTAAATAGGCATAAATCAGCAGGACAATTATGTACACAGACAGAGCTGGGTAAGGCTGAAAGCCATGTGTTTAAAATGCATCTTTAAAGCCTGGTCAAATGAGTCCTTTGAGGAAAAAGGCAGGATATAAATCGAAATAAATAAATGAAACAGGTTTTCCTCCGGCACCAAATAAGAGTCAGTGTGGCTGTAGATACAGTCTTGCAGTACTTTAAGGTCTAAGAAATTTATGGCCTAAGTAATAGTGTACAAACACTAATGACACAATAAATTAGCCTTCAGGTGCCACGAGACTCTGAATTTTTGACTGCAACACAGACTAAGGATGCAATCCTATGTATTCTTGACAGCATCCAACCCCACTGCTCAAACTCCAGTTCTTAAGCCTTGCTCCCCTCATATGTTGTGCCAGCCAACATAGCGCAGTGTTTAGAGGGCTGCGCTGGGAATCATGAGCTCCGATTTCCAGTCCCCACTCAGCCATGGAGCTCACTGAATGCCTTTGGGCCAGTCCTTGACTCAGGCTAATGACCTTGTAGGGCTGTTGTGAGGATCAAGCAGGAGTATGGGGAAAGCCAGTGAAGTGCAATGTTTAGAGCATTACACTGGACCTCGGGAGATCAGGTTTCAGGCTCCAATCTACCTGACAGGGTTGTTGTGAGATTAAAAGGAGAGGAGGAGGAGAGTTACATAAGTTGCCTTGCAGCAAGCCGCGCTGTCACTCAGCCACGTGTTATCCTGTGCCATCTGTCAGCCTCTTGGCAGCTAATCAGGGCCTCGACTGGAAGGCCTTTATCACTCCTCCCCTCCTTGCCAATAGCGCTGACTTGTCCTTTCACGCGAATAAACCGGCCCATCCCACTCTCCTTTCACGACACGCACCAACGGAGCTCAGCGCCGGCTTTCCTAGACTCCACACTGCATTTCCCATCTCCTTGTAAAAGCAGCCGCGGTCCACGACCGGCCTACTGGCGCGCACTGCCTGCTGGGATTTGTAGTTTCTTGTCCACGAAAAGGAAAGGAAAGCGCTACACGGCAGAGGATGGTCGAAGAGCGAGCTTGCGAAGGCTCGAGGAACGCCTGCGCAATGGCTTCTGGGAGTTGTTGTTTTTGCGTAGGCTCGAGGGCGATCAGGCGGGGAAGAGAGCGGGAGAGGAGGAGCTGCACTTCCCAGGTTTCCCGTCAGCGAGCCGACGCTCTGGCGCGCGCCTTCTCGGGAGTTGTAGTCCTCACCTGTAGAGGCAGCCCGCGCTGAGCAAGGGCACGTTAGGCGAGCAGAGAACTACCAAGATGGAGCCGAGCCGCTGAGTCTGCGGGGAAAGGGAAGAGGCGTACGGCAGCTCGAGGAGGCCATACTGCGTCGGGCGGTGGGGCGCACGCGGAGTGGTTGGAGCGAGTGCTGAGTCGGGGTCGCCCCGCGGCTGCTGCGTTCCGGGCCGCGCCGAGCCCGCTGCGCCCCCGCCCGCATCTTACGCCCCTTCCCTCTTCCCCCGCCTGAACGCCGGGAGCCGCTTCGGAGGCGCAGAGGCTTGTGGGGGGGTGGGAACACAAAATGGAGGCGAACGGCAGCGGGAGCAGCAGCGACTCGGCTCCCGACTGCTGGGACCAGGCGGACATCGAGCCGGGCAGCGGCCCTGCCGGCTCCGGAGCTTCCGCGGCGGCCTCCGCCACCGCCCCCGAGGACGCGACGAGCCCGGCCCAGCTCGACGCCGACGAGCAGCTGCTGGGCGCGGCCTTCAGCCGGCACCTCAACGTCAACGCCAAGCCCTTCGTGCCCAATGTCCACGCCGCCGAGTTCGTGCCGGCCTTCCTGAGGGGGAGCCCCGCGGGCCCGGCTTCCGCGCCGGGCCTGGCGCCGCCGTCTTCGCCGCCGCCGGGCCTGCCTCCCCCAACGCTGCCTCACGGTAACCGCGGAGGAAGCGGGAGGCGCTCTGCGGGAACACTCCTGGTGCTGCGGGCGGAGAGGGGGTCGCGCGGGGGCATTCGCGGGGTGGGGGGGCCTCAGGGGGGTGGCGGTCGCTTCAGCCCCGTGGGGGGAAGAGGAGGAGAGGCCTTGCAGGAGTTTCGAGTTGGGGAGTTTTTTCCGGCGTGGGTGGAAGAGGCAAGGCACTTGGATAAGTCTTGCGGTGCAATCCCGTCTGTATCTTCTCAGAAGTGAGTCCTCCGGAGCCCCAGGTGAGTTTACGGGCGATCGTGGCTTTAGCCTGGAAAGGAGGTGTGCGGTGCGGGAGACACTGCTGTGGCTTGTTCGTGGTTAAAGCCTGAAATTGCTCTTTTTGGTCATCATTTAAATCCGCTAAGCACGTGAGGAAACAGCGTGGAGGACCTTCGAAACGCTCCTGGGGGTGTATGCATTGTCCTTGCCCCCCAGCAGTTCATACTTCCTGCAACCCTGCAAGGTAGTTTAGAAAAGCTGTGACGCCCTGCCTGAGGTCACCCAGCAGTAGAAATGCCTGAGCACCCTTGTGTGCCCCCGAGTCTTCCATTCAGGCCGATTCTGAGGAGCAAACCCACTTTTCGTCAGGCAGCACCCTCTCGTTCTTTTGTACTACATTTCCCATGATCCCCACCCAGCATGATAGGCATGTCAGTTCGATATCTACCGTGCTTGTTAGGATGGGGAGTGGTGGGGCATTTGGGCCGCCAACAAGATTAAAGGGATTCTACAGGCAGTGGTGTCTGAACTTGTGAGTTTGAGGGAGAGAGCCAGTAATGGGGGGGGGGGGGTTGCGGTAGGGAGACTTGAGAATGGCTTGAGAGGAAGGAGAGACGAGGAGAGATGGGCGAGGCTGCGTGGGCATTGTTTGAAGGGGATTCAGCCGAGAGATGGGGATTTTGGGGAGACCTGGTTCAGAAGAGTGGATGCATGTGCTGAGCATGCTTCTGAGCAGGGACTTAAGAGGAGCGCTGTGGAGCCGTGCAGGCGGCACTGGGGCAGGCAGACATGAGTGACTCTGGGTACCTTGGTGTGGCTGTGATGCTAGGTAGCTCTGTTGAGGGACGTCATTTGCTTAAGGTGGCAGAGGAGGGGAAAAAGTCTTTCCTGGTACGAAAAGAGTTTCTGTGAAAAGTCCTCATAAAGACTTGCTGGGTGTCTTCCTGTTCCTAAGCCACATATTAGACAGATTTGTCTTGCTACCTTTTATCTTGTACTTCTGCTGTGAAAGAGAATAGTGGCTCTTCCCTCTCTCTCTCAATTACTTTGTGAAGTAAGTTAGACTGGGAAATAGCAACTCACCTAAAGTTGCATTGAACTAAACAGGAATTTAGACACATTTCTCCTCCTCAGGTTCAGCATACTGATACCACTTGGGATTTCTTCCAAGTGAGATGCAAGTCTTTACAGGTAATGTGAAAAATGAGTCACAGTAGAACAGTTGTGTAAATCAAACAAAGGGAGAAAAGTAGTAGAGTTGACCACTTGCATAAATTTGTGAATAGACGGATTTTTTTTAAATGGTTAACTATATTGCAAAGGTGGTTTTCCTTGTGTGGGGAGTTGGCAGAAAAGCAGACTGGAAGGAACTGTTTCAGAATGTTTGTAGAACGTTTTGAGGAAGCTTTTGAGGAATCTGCGATGCGTTAGCCACTTGGTAGTAAAACCCTTACAAAGTTACTGGGCTTCCGACATTACACTTGGGCATCTTTTTTGCTTGGTGATGCATGGCATTTGATTTAACTTAGAATAATTAGTATCAGATTTTTGTTGCCATTTCTTATAGGTGGACTCAACTTGTGCATACTTCAAATGCTAGAAAATATGCTTACTTGAATCTTAGCGTTTCCTACAGTGAGTGCTTGAGACAGTGGGGCCGTTCACACAGAGCAGTGACTTTCCGGGGCAGATTGTGGGTTGAGTAACCCACAGTTTGTTTGGAAGTGACTTGTTCTTGGAATGCTTCCAGTTTGTGGCAACAACCTGTGAACATTTTATGTGGTACTGTCATGTCCAAACCTGGACACTTTGAGTTGACCTGAGAAGAAATCATTAATCCATGATTTGCTGTTGTTAGATACATACCAGGTCTGGGTTGTGGAGGAGGAGGTGGGATGTCTCTTTCAAGGTCATGAGGGGAATCCTGAACAATGCTACCAAATGCTTTAAGAATATTGGAACAGTGAATGGTAAGACTTGATATACTTACTTGGACCAGCTCAAGATTTGAGATTTGCAATACAATATGATAAGCCCCCCTTAGCGCAAATTACCTTTTTAACTCTTTCTTCTGTTATTCAACACACATCCTATCTTTCCTTTAGAAAGTTCAGAATAGCTTACATAAGGCTGTAAAATTCCCATAGTGTAGTGTGAGACCTGCTTAAGCTTACGGTGTTATCTGATCTTAAACAGTTTCCTTTTACTCCAGTTTGAATTACACTTAGGTTTTTGCTGCATGTGTTTCATAAATCTATACCAAATCAGGAACAAAATCTGAGTGTTCTAGTTAAAGCATTTGAAGTGGAATCCTCAGCACATACATGTAAATTCTGTTTGTCTCTCTCTCAGAAAGTAAGATAATTCAAGGGACATACTCCTAAACAGGTCAGGTTTCCTAAATAACCCCCTCCCTTGCTGACCGGAGCAATTAAGAGTAAGAATTGTTTTTGAGCTGAGAAGATTTTATTAGCAGGGAGGTAGCCTTTTTTTCCTTCAGATGGCATTTTTTGTGGAAGTGACTAATAGAATTCTGTGTAAGGCTAGTAAAAAGGTTTTGTGACTTGTAACTTCTGTACAGGCAGCCAAGTTACAAGCATCCGCATTACAAAAAACTCACTTATGAACTGCCATAAAGCCTCTTAATTAAAAAAAAAACCTACAGAAAAATATCACTGTAGAAAGAGGGGGGGCAAAAGGGGAGAGACGGAAGGCCTTCAAAGCATCACCATAGAGAGAGGGAGGAAGTGAAAGGGACTGCCTTCCTGGGCTGCCCTTCCAGAGAGGGACTTCTCTTCAGCATTTCCTTGCTGCAAAAAGAAGGTACAGGTGAGTTTGGGCAGTGGGTGGGGAGGCCTAGAGATATTCAGTTTTTCCACTTTCACAGGGGGTCTGTGCCTCTAACTCCATGAATATAGAGGGCTGGTTGTACATGACGTGACTTACATACAAATTCAACATAATGACAGTTTCCACCTTGCAAATGTTACGGTTCTGGAAATCCATGACAACACATTGCAGGCTTAACATCTGTATTCTTCTGTATCATATTTTAGCCTCACTGCCCGATTTACTCTAATGGGGGTTTCCTATAATTGTGTGGGTACTTTTGTAATAGATAGCTGAAGCTTGGCTTATGTGTATTGGGTCCAAGCCATGCTAACTACAAGAAATGTCTCAAAAAGAGTACTTCCCAAGAAGTCTATTTCATTATCAGGTAGTGTCATACAGCCAAGCTACTCCTCTGATAGAATGTAGGGGTGTGAGACTTGACATATAACATTTCATAAATTGAAAGAAGGATTTGTAGTAGTAGACAGATGGTAGCATGCATTTAAGAGAATGACGAGGCATTGGAATTTTCCCTTTCGACTTTAACAACCCTTGTATGAAGGAAGGGCCTCTGGCAGTCTGGAATGTATCTGGATACAGAACACAAGCTATATTTGCTTGTTGAATATCGCGCATGCACAGCGGGGTGCGTACACAGGGCACACATCATATATGTTCTCTATCATGGCTGCTAAATATTTTAAAAAACTTACAATATTCCATATCAGTATGTTGCTAGAATACAGTAACACGTTTTATATAACATTGTAAATGTTGTAATCTAAAGCCAAATACATCACCTAACTTATTGGAGCATATTAAATTTCCTACATCTGTGTCTTCACTTAAAAATTACAGGTTTTGAATCTCAGTCTTGTACTCAGCTCTGCTCTTCTATGTGCTGGTATTTCTTAATGCCACTTGCTTCAGGTTTTTCCAGCACAGGTCAGGGAGTGTTGCAACTTATTGAACCTGGAAAACTTTGATAAGTTCACCCAAAGTAAATGACTGCAAAGACCTGTCTCTTCTGCATTCCAGGGATAGTACCCACTGTGTGAAATAGCTTGAGAATACCATGAGGTTGGAAATAGCTGTAGAGCAAAGGTCTTAAAATCAGAAGCAGGTCTCCTTAGGCAAAAATGGTCAATTGCTAGAAGAGGCCCTAGCTTCTGCCAAATATCCATTCTGTAACTATTTGGAGGGAGTATCAGTTCCCAGTCAATAAGGCAATACTGAATGTGAGTGATGCTCCAACTCCACTTGGAGGCCTTATTGATTCAACAGTACAATATGCTATTATCAAAACTTTTATAACTTTTTTGCTTCAAGCGATCTTGAAGCATCAAGCTTTTTTTTCACATCTAGCTCTTTTACTAAAAGCAGGACAACATTCATTGGGTATTGGCCAGACGGAGCTGTAACAAGCTCCTTGGGTGAGCCTCTACCTCTGTCCTTGCTCCTTTTTTCTAATCTGTGCGCCTACCTCCCAAATATCCACTCATTCCAAAAGAGGTTTGTTTCATCTCAGTTGGAGAGGCGCAAACTATTTTATTTTTAGGCTTAAAAAGCCTTACTTGACAAAGGCCGAGTGCCCCATCTAGTATGTTGCTGAGTTTGCACTCTGCCAACTCTGCTGGCTCTGTCATCTTTGCTGATATTTAGCTCTCTATTCTGAAGTCTGTACAGAGATAGTGGAGAATGATGATTCAGAAGTCCACTATGTTTAGCTGGTCTCTGCCCTGAGGAGCTCTCAGTCCAAATACACACAACAATGGTTTGTGTGGGAAGTACTAAATTGCATGATAAGCTTAAAGGACTGGAATGCCCTGGATGTTTTGATGTTAGGGCTTTTGAGGGTAGGGTCTACTGCACCAGAAGCAAGCACATGATGAATCCAGGCCGGGTGAGAGCAACAAA